GTTTTTGGTGCTGTTTACGACCTAACTTTTTATCTCTCTGTCTTCAAATGCAGACGAACACGGCTGCATCCGCAGACACCATTTTTCAAGTTTGATGATTACATTGAATGCAAAACATGCGAAATTCCACGAACAAATGGTTAAAATATCGATTCTACGAGTTTACCACTTCAATACCTAATAATTCTTTAGGATAAAGCTTACCTAAGTAGCTTTACACCCTGTACAGTGTATATAGGTACCCTGTATATGGTAAATGTGGAACTATTCCTATCCTGTATAGGTATTACGTGCCTAAATGAGCTGCAAGAAGCAGCGTATGCCACATAATTCACACTGACAAGATAAAGATAAACCATAGCAAAAATGACACGCTTTAATGGGATATTAGTCCACTAACGTGGCTTTGGAGGGCGAGGGGAATCATGTATACCTAAATACACGCCTTGCCAAGTCCGATGCCAAGGTTTCGCATTGTAGACCTTGCATAGTCACATGACGTCACAAAGTCTGCTTGACATCACAGGATATTTTTCTAAAAACGCCCGATCAAACTGATACTGCGTTGTTCACAGGCGAAATCATCCAAAGATGCGCGACGCTGTAGGTCATGGGGTGGGGTGTCATGGGATGGCAATTTTCCGATTCGTTGTGCCATGTTTACCTGTTTTCGGATGTTTGAGTGTTTAGTTTGGCTTTCATCCAAAGACTGCGCATTTCAATTTTCTCCTATTGACTTATGCCTAGGTCGTCAAATTGATCTGACCTTAGGTAAGAGATTACAAAATTCCGAGACATATGTTGAATACAAACTGTAACTCTTATCAGTTGCTGATAACTTCAAAGCGATCGTTCAGTCGGTGTAGCTATAAGCTACGGCCAGCATTTGAACTTTTTCTGAGATAAGATCACACTTGACGTGACCTGGTGACCTGACCTTCAACGACCTGGACCCGAACTCTTAACCCTCGCCGGTACTGGCCATTTTGCGTCCTTCGACGCCCCCCCCCCTCCCCCCTGGCGTTTGGCCCCTGATCGAGCTAGAGCTTCGCGGAAAAAAAAACGAGCGCATTGCCCGTGACAAGAGGAAGCCGATGATGCCCAATTTTAAGGTCCTAGGTCATTGGTTAACCCTCGCACGACCAGGCCATTTCTCATAACACGAACGACCAGGGGGGGGTTGTTACGACCCCCCCCCCCCTGGCGTTTCGAAACGGAAGGTCGTAGAGCTTAGCGGAAAAAACCAACGGATTGCTCTCAACGAGATCTCGCGATTGGTGGTATATTTTTTGGTCCTAGGTCAACATTTGACCTACTTATGACCGGTCAAAAGTCAAATTTTCCGAAAAAAATCAAACTTTTTCGACTTTCCGCGGCGATTTCGGCAAAACGGTGGGAGATATCGACTTGAAACCTTCACTATCGTGTTCCTTGATCAATTCTCTATCGTTTGGTATGTATTTCGTTTCCCTAGCTCTAAAAATGGCGCGTTGGGAGCGCCGGAAGTCGGCAAGGTCACAGTCGGCGGCAGAAATTCGAAAAATCAAAATTTAAATTTTTGAAATCTGATTGTATTTTTGGATTTGGGAGGTCCATTTTCTCCCTATAGAAGCTAATATTGCTGCATATTCCCATTGAGGTGACAAGAATTAGCAAAATAGTGGTTCGGGCGCTTTTCAAAAATAGTACCGGACGCTGTTCCTCTTGTGACGTCATAGCTCCGTGACCTGACCTGACCCGGTCAATTTTCTTGCACCACACGATAGCCAATGCTTGCCCCAACATGCATGGGAAGTTTCATCATGATCCATCAAACAATGTGGGTATCACCGGCAGAAAACCTAGGGATTCGGCGCACACGTTTGGTAACTGTCGGCCGGAGGCTGTACCTCTTATGACGTCATAACTCCGTGACCTGACATGACCCGATCAATTTTTTTCGGCAAAAGATGCGCAAAGGTTGCCCCAGAGGGTATTGAAAATTTCAGCCCGCTACGACAAGCCGTTTAGCGTGCACTTCGAAAAAACCTCAGGGGGGGTTGATACAACCCCCCCCCCCCCTAGGCGTTCTAGGGTTAACCTTCCAGGCCAGGCCAATAACCCAAAAGTCGGGAAAATCGAGACCTGTTAGAACGTCGTAAAAAAGTGGCTGCTATGGAGATTTTCGGGATGCTGATTACGAATATCGTGTTAGTTTTATCACAGATGATGTCTTTATGCATTTAGGCCAGGTCGGGTCAGGTCAGGTCAGGTCAGGTCAACCAGTAGGGGTCCTGCCAGGTATTCGTAGTACGTGCCAACCGCCTCTGACAGCTTCGTAACATGTTACGAGGGCACCAAAACTACTTCTTAAATGTTCAAATGATTGCTGCTAAATTCGAAGTCAGCTCCAAAACTAGCCTACAAACTTGTAAAATTCAAAAAGTGAACCGAGGTCGTCAAAGGTTAATGACCTGACTTGACCTTCAGGTGACCTTGACATCCACCCTAGGGGAGAATGAGGTAAGTTGAGCCGCTTTTTGTTTTTGGTAAGCTACAGGCTAACTTAAAGGGACCCTTCCACCTTCAAAAAAGTTTATGAATTGGCATGGAAGTGATGTCGCTCGGTTCAGAAAGAGCGAAAACGAATATCTACCAAATTTCACCGAAAAAAATATTCACCGGTTTTCAAGATATTATACTTTTACTTTTGTTTACTTTTTGGGATCTCCGCTGTTCCTAGCGACTTTATTTGGAAGCAATAGTTTGGCAGCTGAAGGTGCGGCACTTGTTGCGCGCAAAGCAGCATATGCCATCGCGTGCTACAAAACGTTTTAGTTAAACATTTAAAAATTGTTAGATATCTGCGCTGACGTCACACATTCAGAGGGGTATTCCTATGCATTAGCCCCTCTGAATCAAAATGCTGCTATTTCGAAATTTAATATTTCCGATTTAAGGCATTTCTCGATGTTGTGAGTGCCGAAACCGGTAATTGTGAGCCAGGGACCCCATTTTAGCTATCTCAACTCAAATCTAATGTTATGGTGGGAGGGTCCCTTTAATGATCAGTTTTCTGCGTTTACGGTTTGGACGGAGAGAGTGGTCATTTGCGCATGTAATGGTGGTCAGAAAACTTTCATACCTCTTATTTTTGTACTGAAAAAAAAAACTACAGCAAAAATCATCTTGCACGCTGCTCCTCTTACCCCATGGGCGGGGCAAGTTGAGACACGTTGTGGGAAAAGTTGAGCATGGATAGAAAAAGCGAACCTCTTCTTTTCTCGCGGTGCAGCCAAGAGTGAATTCTTTTATTGACTCCATATTGATATGGCATTCATACTTATGGCAAAGTTTTTTTTCCTCCATCAAAAAGTGACTGTTTTAAGCCTTCCAATAACTCATCAAGTTTCTATCACGGAACAAATCATTTTATCGTTCAGATAATCCGCAAATCATTTACAATTTGTTTTATCAACAAAGAAATAGGTACAATTTCCTACAATTTTTATTCAGTAGAAACAAGCGCAGCTCAGTTTGGTTTTCGACAACGGAGACAATAATGGCTTATCCGGCTCATCTTCCCCCAGGTGAAAATGGCTCATCTTGCCCCACTCGCGGCCATTTTCGATTAGTGACTAAGAAAAATAAGTACCTATAACCATGCACCGCATATAACAAGTTTCACAACCATCTCATTTTAAAGGCAAAACATGTCTTAGTTATCAGGGGCGATACCACATGTTACCGGGTGCTGAGCGCAGAGTAAGCAGCCATCAATCGCAATATCAAAAGTCTGCTTTTATCGGTTGTAAACATGTTTTTTGATGCAGCTCTCTTACCTGCGTCCCGCGAACGTTGCCGTCTCACGTGAAAGACTGCAGCATCGTAAGCGAACGACATGTGGTAGCTCAAGTCAATAACCCGCGAGTTGTTGGGGGGGGGGGCGTTAAACGCCCCCACTTTTTTCGCCGGGCCATAGCATAAAAACGGCGCGCCGCAGGCGTGCCAAATTTCGGGTACCTGTAGGCAATTGATTGAAGTTTATTGTGACAAAGTTTCAAAAAAATCGGTCGGAAAAATTTTGAGATATCGAGGTTTTAGTGACGTCATGATTTCTGAATTTTCGACCAAAAACGGCATATGTTCAAAAAATCATATAAAATCACAGAATAGACATACAGACATGCCGTAAACGCCATTAGACTGCCAATACCATGAACAATCAAATGGCTATCTTCGATTATTGATTATCGTTCCGCATTTCCCAAAATCTTGAACTGAATCTTGACAATCTTGAACTGAAAGCGCGCAACAAATGCCGCACTTTCAAATAAAGTCGCTAGGAACAGCGGAGATCCCAAAAAGTAAACAAAAGTAAAAGTCTAATATCTTGAAAACCGGTGAATATTTTTCGATGAAATTTGGTAGATATTCGTTTTTGCTCTTTCTGAACCGAGCGACATCACTTTCCTGCCAATTCATTAACTTTTTTGAAGGTGGGAGGGTCCCTTTAAGCAACGCGAGAGAACTGAAAGTTTCGTCGCGATCGGCCGCTTTTTACGCGAGTTATTTGCGAAAAACCTTAGGGGGTGCATCAAATCCCCCTCCCCTGTGCCCGCGAGGGTTAACATGTGCAGAAAAGAACATAATAAGGTGTGCCAGTTGCACAGCGCCACCGTTTTTTAGATATTCGCAAAAAAGCTGAGGGACCTCCAGCACGACGCGAGCTTAGCTATTGTGTTTTGCGGTACAGCATACCTTCCAGGCGCTGCTTTTACTGCCCTCTATGCGTAGGCATACGAACTACACATTCGAGTAATCGCCACGACAGAACTTGGAAAATTTACGCGGCATCAAACAGACCAAGGCTATAGATTATAGAACTCCAAACAGACTGTCGATAGGACACCGTAATCGGCGATCGTATGGCATGTGAATTATGATCAACAGGCTGATGGTTGATGCTCCTGAGGAGCCTGCTACTCTCTTAAAAATCAATGATGCGTCAGACTGCTTACCTGACCGTCACGAGGCCAGTCGCGTCGGATGTGCGCAGAGACCGCACGCCGTCGCAGCTCGTGCTCCTGCTCCTGCTGTCGCCGCTGCTGTCGCTCCTGCTGCCCAGTCAGGTGGCCGCGGATGGCCTGCCATTTCTCCGCAGGTAGAAGCAGCGCGTCGCGCGGCAGATCGGCCGGAAGTACCAGTGCTGACATGAGTACTTATGACAGGCTGCCGATATAATGTCAAACGGCGTAGATAGGAGTATGCAGAGACGGGCGACAGTCAAGGCTCGAGGCCAGATGGAGGTGCGGGGGGCAGCTCACTTATCACCAGTCCTGTAGTCGGCAGACCAAGACATGAATGGGACTGAGAGTCGGTTCAATTATGTGGTGATGAGTACAACATCGCTTTCAGTGATGAGCTTCATCGCGATTGAAAGTATCATCTTGGACGAGTTTTTTATCACCTTTCGGTTCAATTGGTGCCCAACGGGAGGCATCACCTCGTTTCCTCCCCTTCCCCTCCCACTGTCACTGCGCTGAGCGCTCTTCGAAATTAACGGTTACGCTGCCCATAGCTTCGACAAGATAAAGTATCGGTAGATTGTACACCTTTATATTATGCGAGCAAACAATGATACAATACAATCGCTCCACAGCGCAGCCTTACTCACCTGCAATGATTTTTTTTCAGCCGTCCGCCGTTGGATATGCAGGGATCTCCTCCGAACGTGGTCCGGCGGGCTACAACGACTGACGACGGCTACGAATCGCAGCATGGCAGACAATTGATGTAACAATGGCGTTGCCATGGAAACCGCAGACGGCTGTCTGGGTTGACCGGTGTCTACGGTGTCCAATCAAGGGCGAATCCAGGGGGCCATAGGGGCCATGCCCCCCTGGCTCTGAAAGGGGGGCCAACATATATTTTGCCTCTCCCTTTCATCCGTGCTGTTTCTAACAGCCGGCTAATTTTTCAGAATTATTTTCACCATTTCCATCGACGCTAAGGCCGAACATTAACTTTTTTGTTATTAAAGGAAATAGTTCACATTTTAACATGGGTTTTTAACTGGAATAGCAGTTCCGTAGCTCGGGCTGAGACGAGCATAAATCAGGAGCTTTTACAGCCCAACGATCACCCTAGGCAAAGATATTCTATTTCTCGTCCCGAAAAAGGTGCCTTGCGTTGAGGTTGTGTGCCTTGCATATATTTGCATCCAGTATGAAACGAGCATGGGTCCAGAAAATTATTCAGAAACGCTCCAGCAACAAAAGAAAATTATTCAGAAAATTCTTCAGAGGCGCTCCAGTAACAAAAGCATGAGCAGATCGCCCAAATGCCGGTGGCCGCGATAATTTCTCTAGCTTCTGAAGAATTTTCGGGACCCATGCTCTTTTCATACTGGATCGCGTGTGCCTTACAGAAACTGAAAAGTTCTTCCTATATCAAAAATATAGAAAATAATATTTTGTTATAAAAAGGTTTTATTTTCTTTGCTGATCATTTTGAACATAAAAAATCATAAATCCATTGCAAAAAGTATAATTTCGTGAAAGTGAACTATTTCCAGTAGTGTGCCAGCTTTCCTGGACCGTATGGAGTTAATGGCCCAGATAAGGAGAACCGGATTTTTAGAACTTATCCATACCTTCAAAACTCATGGAAACGTCTTAAATTCTTCAAATTTTGAGTACCCCAGTGCGAAATTCGCCCCGACGGGTTGTCGGTCGTACCCCAACCACATTTCACACCACTATGAACAATAAATGCACACACTGAAATCGCTATTACCGATATGCTCATCCAATCAAGTTTCGATAAACCCGTTCATCATCAGCTCCTGCGGTTTCGAACACGCCTGTTAGGTGGTGCGGTAGACCACGCCCAAAGCCAGGGCCCCGGTAACGTGAGGTAGCCGAGTCAGGGCAGCGTGCGCTGACCCAAGCCGGAGCCGCGCGTCCTCCCGGTGTCATGTGATAGCCCGGGGCTGCCCGCGGGGATGCGGTAGACCGCGCCCAAAGCTGCGGCCCCGGCTTGGGTCAGCGCACGCTGCCCCGACTCGGCTACCTCACGTTACCGGGGCCCTGGCTTTGGGCGCGGCTTCTGCTCATACTTTGTGGTGCGGTGGTGGTGCGTCGGGCTGCGCGCTCTGACTTCGGCCAAGAAAAATGCGTCAGCTGATCATTGTCATTTCTGCCACTTGCGTGTGGTGAAATGGGGTCATAACTTATGAGACGGCTTTTTCATATCAATTATTTTACATAAAATCATATTTCAAACCATAAATAATGTTCGACAGCCAAATAAAAGAAACAATACCAATACGGGCTTACAGTTTAAGGCTCGACATTGTGTTGTCTACGATTAGACAGCTGATAACTCATTCCCGTACGTCGTATGGTCGTAACACTATAATGACCTTTGCTTATTGTCACAAGTGCGCCGCATTCGCGATTGTTGCCCGACGCCTGTTTGCAGGTGAGCCCACTACAGTTGTTATACATATCTAAAAACCGATAAACTTTTAGGCGAAAAAGGCACTATTCCAGGCTCATTTTTGATTTTTTTTTGCGATAGTAGGTAAAAACAGAAGCTTCTTATCCTAGGAAAAATAAAATGGGAAATCTTTCAAAGGTGGCACACTACCTTTAAGATGAACAGGGATTTACGCACAAACATAATTTGGCCGTTTGCGTGCTGGCAACCAGCTTATGCAGCACACTGCACAGACAGCTTGATTTTCGACTATGCCCGTTTGGCTGTAGGTAACTGCAGGGCGCGGAGGCTGGCCGCTGGATTCCATTAGTCTATGTCCTGCTGGAAGGTAGCCCAAAGATCCTCGCTCAAGATTAGGGTCCGGATGGCAGCCGGTTAATTCCTTCAGAACTCCAGCAGGTTCGATTCGCACAACCACCTGGACCTTGGTAGAGCAATGAGCTGGCGCGCCGTCCTGCATGAAATTGCATGTTGACCTGCCATCGACCGTCGAGGCCATGCGTCGACTCAGAACTGAGCCGCTGGAAGCTATTGTTGGTAATGAGCCTCAGCGAACTCTTCTAATATGCAGCGTCTCATGGTCCTGTCTGGAGATGAGATAGTCCTTGAGAGCGTAAGCAGCTCGGCCAAATTATTAACCAAGTGGCCACTCTTCCTGGCCGCCATTTCAATGCGATTTCTGTCCCGGGCGAAATGGTGGGCGAATGCCCGATCTCGGGCGATCATCAACACTGCCAGCAGCCGTAGGTATGCATATCCCACCAGTGCGGGACTGTGCAGGCAGACGTCCCAACTGACCAGGAATAACACGCTGTGTTATTTTGGCCTGAAGCATGTCGACTGTCTGGTTCAGCTCCCCGAGATGGAAATTTTTTGCCTTCATTTTGCCTTCATTTTGCGACGCGGCCATTTGGTTGGGCAATTTATGTATAACTGGCCGTAGCTCGGTGACCCATGACCCGAGGTTCGGTCGTGACCTCATGTTCCGTGACCAAGGACCGTGCAATCTTTGCCAAAATCTTTTTCCAAAATCTTTATCCCTTAGGGGTAGAAACGATTAGAAACTGGATAAGTGTTGTCCTAGGTAGAGGACAAAACCTTTGCTGTACCCTGCATAAAACCACCTTGCAGTTTCCCTTCAATCGGCTTTGATCCAGCGGAAATAGTCCCGCATTAACCTCCCTCCTTAACCCGCGCCGGGCCGGTCCTCGGTGCAACCGCTCCGGGCCGGTGGGTGTCTGAACTCCTTCTAGCTCGGCTCCTGGGCCACGTAGCGACACGTGGTAAGCGACATTCGAAAGACCTTCGAAAATCAAGACGAAAGCAGCCATTTTTTAAGTCTGGTCAAAGGTCAGGTCACCAGAGAACATCAAAGGAAAAATCTTGCCTATGTATGTCAACACTTTTCGAAACTCCGGCGCATAACAGCGTTTTTTTTTTAAATGCTCACTACAAATTTTCTAACGACAGTGCTCAGTTTTGACCTCAGGTCAACGGTTTAGCCGCCAGAGGCAACAATTGAAAATAGTTGCTTTTAGAACAAGAATCGCTTAACTGTGCAGCACTGCAAGGTGGTCAAACTGTACCGCAACCCACATTTCCTATCTGCGCCCAACATGGTCGTAAAGAGCTTGATAAGGGAAAAAAGGGGAAACGAGAGAAATGAAAATGAGGTGTTGCTGAAGTTTGCGATGTGTGGCAGGTGATGCCAACTGTCGTCACCGACTGCAGGGTTGCCGAATCCAGGGCGGGTCCCGAACATCATACGAGATAGCTCGCAAAAATTGGGTTTTTGCCTTCTGTTCGCCTTTGGTGCATCACGTGAACAGCTTTCATCTTCATAAAGGTGTTGGATAAACGGTCCTGTTCCAGTGATTGAGTGCTTTGGGCCTGGCTATAGGTTGCATTTTTTTAATCATATTTCAACTTTTCGGGCGTCGCATTTTTTACCATTTTTGTTATGGGAAAACCCATAGACCTATTTAACGACCCTCCCCGCTCGTTAATCGGGACGAGTTCCTTATTAGCGTTTTTTTTTTTTAATGGCTTGCTAAAATGCTCACTACAAATAAATTAGTGGATATTGGGAGCGAAAATGAATATATTAAAATAGAAAAATGAACGATCTATCCGAAAATCAAGCCAGTAATACAGTAGCACCCATACAGCGTGAGCAGTGATGGTTCAAATTAACCCTCGCATGTGTAGGGGGGGGGTCGGATGGACCCCCCCCCCCATGGTTTTTCGCGAATAACTCGCGTAAAAAGCGGCCGATCGCGACGAAACTTTCAGTACCCTCGCATTGATCAATTTTACACCTACCCTGAAAATTTCATGACCCTGACCCCAATGACCTTTGACCTGTGACCTCTTTTCCGAGACCATGTTTGGCCGGAATCGCGATTCCGCGTATGTCGGCTCGCATTAGCCGCGCGTTTGCAAGCTTTTCGTGGTTTCAAACGTTCAAACATGTGATTTGATGTTGCTCCCATGCATTAGGGTGGGTGTCAAGGTCACCTGAAGGTCAGGTCAGGTCATTGACCTTTGGTGACCTCGGTTCACTTTTTCGAGTTTTACATGTTTCTAGGCTAGTTTTTGGAGCTGAATTCGAATTTAGCAACCATTTGAACATTTACGAAGTAGTTTTGGTGACTTCGTAACATGTTACGAAGCTGTCAGAGGCGGTTGACACGTAATACTAATACCCGTCACGACGCCTACTGGTTGACCTGACCTGACCTGACCCGACCTGGTCTAAATGCTTAAAGACATCATCTGTGATCAAAACTAACACGATATTCGTGATCAGCACCCCGAAAAACCCCTTAGCAGCCACACTTTACGACTTTCTAACAGGTCCCGATTTTCCCGACCTTGGGTCTTTGACCTGACCTGGAAGGTCAACCAATGACATAGGACCTTAAAATTGGGTATCATCGGCTTCCTCTCGTCACGGGCAACACGCTCGTTTTTTCCGCGAAGCTCTAGCTCGATCAGGGGCCAAACGGCAAGGGGGGGTCCAACCGACCCCCCCCCCCCCTACACATTAGAAGCTGGAAAACGCCGCACACATGCGAGGGTTAATGGGGGTCGCTTATTGCGCACCTACCCTATATATTCCCGCATTTCCATTGTCTCTGTGGTTGTAAAACGTTCAAACATGTGAAATCAAGATGGCCCTTTGCATTATGGTGGGTGTCAGGGTCACGTGAAGGTCAGGTCAAGGTCATGGACCTTTTATGACTTGGTTCACTTTTTATTTTTATTGCCGGGCATTTTTACACCCGGCATTATTTGCTAATCGCTACACATTTGATAGGATTGATGGAGATAGCTGTGAAGCAAAATTTGTACATATCTCGTTCCGTTCCAATCTAAGACGTGTCTACGGTCGATTCTAAAATTGAGTTGCTGTCGAGAGTCGAACTCGAGACTTTCCCTCGTCAGGGATTCCAACTGCCAGACAGCCAGACAGGAACATATACGAGATAGTGATCAATCTGGCGAAGTTCGAGGCAATTTGGCCTCACGTTTTATTTATCGAACGCTCGCTTTTGCTCCAGAATGAATGTAAAAGCACAGGAAATTAGGAAAATAATTTATGCTAGCTTTGACGAAGATTGTTATTTGTTACACTCAGTGTATAGGACATACTGTAACAGCTATTCATACTAATGGTGCTGCACTGTATGCTAGCAGTTGCTCGACCAATGAAGTTTTAGTCGTAATTTAAGTTCGCGAGTGCACTGTTCCTAGAAAGCTTGAGTATTTTCTTAAAATTTGATGTGTTTTGAGACAAAGAATATAAACAAAGAGAAATCAGGAAGAAACTTGGATGAATCCGTGCTAATTTGGGAAAAGACGACAGCGCTAACATTTGTTCCCTGATAGTTCATTTGGCTACAACTACCGTCAAACTGTAGCTAAATATTTTTGGAAGATATTTCTGTTGTTTTGAATTTTTTGTCTATAATACTATTTCATTAAGCGTGAAAATATTTTATAAACAAAAATTGCAAAAATTATGTGGTAACTATTTCTTGAATTTTCTAAGTAGATTACATTTCTAACACAGGAGTTGCAGAGGGACTGGATTTGTATGAAAAACACTGACATCCCTGACATCCGACAAAGATTGGGATGGTGTTCGCTGTTTGGGTGTTGTGTAGTTGAATTTAAGTTTATTGTTTTGTTATTATTCCTTAAAGGTAAGACACACTGAAGTAAGAATGGTGGTTTTGCTCCTTTAAGTCCATCTGACCCTTCATTTCTTTACACATTTGTGCTTGTTTGATCTGTAAACCACCATTTTCTGGCGAGCCTCCCTGAACGTGAATGGTAGGGGGGTACAACAAAAATAAATGCTCATAGTTGTACCAGATTAATGCTAATGGCTGAAATGTGCACACATTTCAGACACTTAAATGAACACAATAAGTTTTTGGATCTTATAACAGTAACTCAGTTGGGGGAGGTTTGGTCAATGGTTGTCATTTTTAGCACATGCCATATTTGGCAACCATGTGCTAAAAATGACAACGCTATCAGCTATTTTTAGCAACGATGAAGCCGATTTCACTCCTCAGCGAGGAAATCACGATTTTGGAAATACAAGCACTGATTTTGGAAAAGAAGTGCTGCCACCTGGTGCAAGAAGAAGAAACCAGCTTTAATATGGCCGTTGTTTGTATGGTAGTCCAACGTTGAAGTATACCCTTTTTTGTGGCCCGAAGTTGGAACTTTAAATTGAAGCATCCGAAAATGATCGATATTGATCGAAATCATGATGTTGATGAAAAAAATAATATGTTAAGTTGAGAGAGGAGGCCATTTTATCCAGATGCGGTGGTTTACTTCTTGAAATTATTTTTGCTTATGACGACTGCCATGTAATGAGGGATAATTAGCAGCTGTCATTAGCAAAAATAATTTCAAGAAGTAAACTACTGCATCTGGATAAAATGGCCTCCTCTCTCAACTTAAAATATTATTTTTTTCATCAACATCATGTTTTCGATCAATATCGATCATTTTCGGATGCTTCAATTTTAAGTTCCAACTTCAGGCCACAAAACAAACTACCATACAAATAACAGGCATATTAAAGCTGGATTCTTCGTCTTGCACCAGGTGGCAGCACTTCTTTTCCAAAATCAGTGTTTATCTTTCCAAAATCTTCATTTCCTCGCTGAGGAGTGAAATCGGCCTCATCGTTGTCAAAAATAGCAGAATCGTTGTCATTTTTAGCACGTGTGACAAAAATAGCACGTGCTAAAAATGACAACGATTGACCAAACCTCCCCCGACTGAACTGGACTGGTAATAATGCAATGCCAATGGGCAAAACAACAAGGGAAAATTGAAATACTGCATCAGTTGTGTCACTTTTCATTTTATGGCAAAGTGATAACTGTGTGAGGTTGCCATGCTTATTGACATTTTAAGATCCGCAGAAATGATGTCTTGTAATGGCATCAGCATTGGCAACTTGAACTTGCATTGCTGCAGTGTAGCCGAGGCATTCAGCTTTTCCTGCATTTTGTGCTTACTGAGCTATATGGAAAGATAATTTGAATGAAGTCATGTTAGCATCTACTATTGCTAAGCATTTTTTATATCAATATATTTCTGAAGAAGCATAATGATCTTATTCTGCTGATTGATACTTAGTGGCAATAAAACTTTGAAACCTCTAGAAGGATTAATTCAGATTGCGCTGATTTGCCATGTAAATGAAATATGGGAATCCACAGTATCAGTACCTTTTATAGGAGGCTTCAATTTGTTAATAGGTAACTAAATCTATTTACATATTTTACCTTTGAAAGGTATTGAAGGGACCTAGGCTGGTACCAGACGCCTTAACAAGAACGACTGGGCCATGCTCTTAGTCTTCTCCATGTAGGTTTAATAAGTAATATATAACTGATGCATTCTGTCCATCAGAGCTGCAAATGTAACATCTGTCTTGTACTGGACAGTTTACTTACTTATGCATAAAAATGCCAATCCTTACCTAGCCCAACGTAAAACCTATGTAACACCTAGATGTTTACAACATGCATGCCTACCTGAAGAAGTTTAACACCTATCTATGGCTGCTGTGCAGAGAGATAGATTCTTTTTCCTCCAAGAGCAAATATTACTGTTTTAATATGGGTTATAGAAGATTGATCCCTATTGATAAAGCAATATCATTTCCAAAGTCTGGGCACATAACTGACCACAGGAGGGTCACAGAACATGTTAGGGTAAAAGCTGTTTTTTGCCCTATAGTGTATAGTGTATTTCTTACTTGCTGGCTACAGCATTTACTCTGCTCACCCCTTGAATTTCCTACTGCTATATCACCCCTACTCCTGCCCACTTTACGTCTTCAGAATAGCATGTAGTCTATGGACACTTCACATTGGCTATGGAGACTAATGCAGCACAGGCACCCACCCCTACAACACAAGCTTTGGGCCTGTTCCAGCAATGTCCCAAAATTTGTCGATTTGGGTGGGAAACGACATCCAAATTAAATTCATTTTTCACGCTTACCACCAATATTTAAGAATAATTGTCCACTCCCAACCAAGAAAACTTAGGATTATTTACCAGGAGCAGTTGTGTGGATGCCAGGTTTAACATCAAACATTCTACACCCTAGAATAAAATACATGTTTTTGTTGTTTCTCACTCCTTTTAGATCTCATCGAATCAGCAGTTTTCTACCCCCTCCCCCCATTTTGGTGGGTATTTTTCCCCTCTGACACCCATGACAAAACTCAATTTTGGGACACTGTGTTCCAGTGCCTGCTGTAGAAATTCTTGACTGGAGTCTTTACCAGAAGTTTTACTGGAGGTGCAGGAATGCAATCTGGGGACTTCTGGAGATTGGTGTCAGGGATACCAAAAGAATGATGATAATTCACTCTCAAAAAACAAAATTTGTTTTTAATTTCAGTAAGAAAGATTTAAAGATTATAAGTGTACCTAATTTTCTGTATATTTGAATTGTAACATTAATGGTCAGAAGTCAATTGTTTACATTCATACTTGTCACATGTGCAACATAGTTGTAGACCAGAGCCTCCAGTGAACCTCCAGTGAAATGTGGAACTCGCAACTGACTGGAGGCTACTAAATGTCTGGAGCCTTGGCGAGAGCTTTCTGGAGCTTACTGGAGGCACTGGAATGCTCTCTAGATAATTCTAGAGCTTTCTGGAGGTTTCTGGAGGCGCTGGAACAGGCCCTTTTTAATTATCTTTGGTCTACATAATGCTAAGTTGGTCCAGAAGTTGAGGTATGTTTAGATAAGTTTTCGTTTTTAAATCTCTGAAGGTATCATATCATAATGAATTAACTATTAAGGCATACGTACAAATGGAAAGTGCTAACATTGTTTTTACCCATTGATCTGGCAGGTGGCACCATTGAGTGGCTTTCGTCGCCGACAGCAGCTCGGGATGGGGCTGTTTGAGGGGCGAGCGCGCGTCAAACGAGCTACCACGGCGCCGCACAGCAACCTCACCATCGACGTCTTCATATCCAACAACAAGCTGGGCAAACGCGTCTCAAAATCACTGATGGAGGTATGACATACCGATGGTGTGATGAGATGTTCTGTGGTGGTGACTGGTCACCAGTATCATATGTGCTGTGCATGCAGTGTTTTAAAAAAGATATGTGCTCACAACTTTGCTTGATTGGATAATTAGTGTTCAACAGGATGGACGCCAAATAATGCCTGATGTCCACATATGAGACAAATAAGTAAACGAGATTCAGCCATTTCTGTAGCAAACATCTTTCCCGTCATTCTCAGTTGCATGTGTGATCTTCTAAGTTCTAACGACGTAGGTTCTCATTTTTGACCGCTGTTTTGTGTGTCCCCAGCCGCCAGACCCGGACACCGAGCCGCCGGATCGGCGTCTCCGTCTGCCGGGCTTCCTGACACCGGCACGGGCGCTGCGTCACCGGCCACCGCCGGCCGGCGACGAGCCGCCGCCGCTGCCGCCACCACCGGCGCCTCCACAGGCCCTCGCCAACGGCTGCAACGGCCACAGCGAGCCGGTCAAACGGCGGCTCACGGAAGCCCAGAAGCTGATGATCAGTTCAGAGTGCCACAAGACCGAGATCTTTGCCACGAAGCTGCGTCACATTCCGGGCCGACCGAACGGCGTCTCGCTGCCGCCGCCACAGCAGAACGGCGAGCGGCCGCGGCGGCGGCGACGCTCCGAAGAGGAGGAGGCGACCACGCCGCGCAAACGCATCACCCATGACAGTCTGCTGTTGCGAGACAATCACGAGTACTACAAGGTGGAAATTCTGACCGGAAAGCTGCGATCGAGTCGGCGTCTGTCGGGCGACAGTGATGACCATCCGTCTTTGGAGCTGGACACACCGGACGATGTCGGTCCGGAGGACAGCTGCGATAGTTTCCGTGTGGTGCGGCGCGGTTCCGGGCGGCTGCTGCGCGGCCGCGGGCCGTGCGGCACGCCGCACGGCTGCCGACCGCCGCCCGAACCGCGGCCGGCCGAAAACGGAGAGGCGAGTGAAACCGAGGAGAATGGCGCCGAGCCGGCAGCGGAGACGGCCGAGCCGGTGACGCCGGCCGCCGCTCCGCCACAGCTCGGCTTTACGTTTGAGATGGCGCCGAACGGTGAACAGTGGTATCAGACGTACTCGCGCGAGACACAGGGTCAGAGTGTGGTTAGCGACCTGTCGGACGTGGCGGCGGCGGGCGTGGGGCCGCGGCTGCCCTACCAGATGTCAGAGGACGAGCTGTTCCCGCCGGAACCGCCGCCGTCCACCTCCAGCTCGTCGAGCGCGCCGCGCGCCAAACACCGGCGCCTGCTGCAGCTGACGGCCGCCAGCTCGGCGCGCAAGTCGCCGCGGTGCCACGCGTCCACGCGGGCGGCGCGCTGCTCAGTGGACGCGGCCGAGGGCGTGGCGCTGTGGGACAGCAGCCTGGAGCAGGTGCAGCTGGTGGCGGCCAGCATCTCCAGCCTGCTGACGGCCGCTGAGGAGCAGCACGAGCCGCTCGCTCCGCCGGCGGCCGGCCGCCGCCGCCGCCGCCGCACGGCCTCGCTGTCCGAGCCGGAGCTGGAGCTGCCGGCGCACCTGTCTGGTGTCACTCTGGCGTCTCCGGCGCCGCTCGAACTGGGCGACCTGCTGCGAGCCGGGCCGCTGTGTCCGCCGGCCCCCAGTACGCCGTTGTCCAGCCGTCAGCCGCAACAGCCGCGGCGGCGCCAGGCGGAGCAGCCGCCGCCGCCACCGGCGCCCAGACAGCGGCGCCAGGCGCAGCAGCGCGCGCGCCGGGGGCTGCGGGAGGTCGACAGTGACAGTGAGAGTGAGGCGTCGAGCTCGGCGGGCCGGCGGCGCCGCGGCGGCCGACGGCGCAGCAACCGCACCGGCTGGCCGCGCAGCCGCACCCGGCGGCCCGTCCAGGGCCTGCTGCAGCGGGCGGTCAGCCGGGCGGCGGCCACCGTGCGCGCAGCTCGGGCCAGCCGCCGGCGCGCCCGCGCCGCCAGATAACCGCCCGGCCCGGCCCGTCGCCGCCGCCTCTAGGCCAGATGATTATTTATGTTCCCACGATCAAGTCCTATTTGCCTTATAAACCGGAGTCTGCATTGTGTTGAGGGGTTACTCTCAGGAAATTGGGCTTCTTGCCGCATCGTTTGACTCCGCTGTGTACAAATGATTTCCCCAAAGCTCCAGTCAATCCGTCACTGTCTGCCATTGGTTCACGTATGGTACTGTATATATTGCAGCTTGGCGGCTGTGCACGAGTTATTCGTTGATAGGTTTGTACCGCATGCTGCGTCCAGTTCAAAGCATTATTTTCCGATCTGATTTCCATTTGTGCACTGGGGCCTCCGTGATGGTCTCACTGTCGCCTGTCTGCGTGTATCTGTGTGGGTCTGCGCTAGGTGTTGCCCATCTGTGTGCAAGAGTGCGTAACCGTTTATACTTTTGTTTGTGTGTGTGCGAGTGAATGGGTGTTGACGTTTGTATATCCATGTGTGAGTAAATGTCCGTGCTCGAGCGCTCGCGGGCGAGAGGCGTGCGCCAGCCGCGGCCGTTCCGAGCGCCCGGCCGTGTGCAGCGCGCCCCGCCTGGCGGTGATCTCAATCCTGGCCCGGGCGCCGTCTTCCCGGCTGCGTGTGCCGCCCAGCGCTCGGTACTCTGACCTGTTGTGCTCTGTCTGCCCCGGTGGCCGTCGGCCGCCGCCCGCTGCGGCTCTTCCCGGCGGTGGCGGCGCCTTCCATGCTCCGTTCGAGCCGGCCCGACTGTGTAACGCCGCCGTATGCAACGCTAGGAAATATAGTCTCGAGTGAAATGCCGCCGCCGGCCTCGTTTCCACGTAGTGCGTGCGTCCGTTGCGCCGGTTCCGGTCGCTGAGCGTGCGAAGGGACGCCCAGGCGTGCCCGGAAGCGGCCGGCGTCGCGGCGAGGGGGCGGGCGAAAGGCACGACCGGCCGCCGCCGATTTTCTCTGCGCAGCGAAGCTCGGCCGGCCGGGCAGTGCGACAAGGCGTGTCGGCGATGGTATCTGGGCCGGTCGGCTGGCCCAGGGGCGGACGGGAGACGGGCCGGCCGCCGCCCGTCCCGACCGGCCGGCCTGCACGCACCGCGGCCGTGGTCGATCGCTGTGCGCGGCGCCGGCGCTGGCCCGGCCACATTCCGCGCTGTGCGCCGCCGCGGAGCCGAGCCGAGCCCAGCGGGCCCGGCCGGCAAAAACCGGCGAGGCGGGTCCAGGCCCACACGTGCCGCGTCGGTGCCCCTCAAACGGCGGCTGCAGGTGCGCGGCGCCGGTTTGAGGGCCCCTGACCGGCCTCGGCCGCCGCCGGACGGCTGGAGCCGGTCGTCCCCTGCACGGCGCCGAACAAACAGAGAGAGGGCCGGACGGAACTAGAGAGGGAGAGCGAGGGGAGGGGCGGGGCGACAGGTGGTGGGGAGGCGGCACGCGCCGCGGCCAGCTGCCTCCCTCCCTCGCTCTCTCTCTCTCTCTGTCTGTCCCGCGCTCATGAGTCCCACACAACTGGACGATGATTGGTCGCAGCTGGACGGCGCCACCTGGCTCTCCACCCGCCGACCACTCTCCACCACTGGAGATGCAGACTTGCCAATAATTTGGCCAGTACAGGCAACGATCGCTCGTGAAATCAGAGCTCTTGTTCACCCAGAGTACGCCACAACTAAAATAACAAACATACGCAATAAATGCACAAGCCACAGCAAATCGGCGAGCCGAGAAGTCCACAGCGTCTGCAAGACGACTCTCGCTTTTTGCGCATTCCTCGTCATAATTCCTCGCCCGTTGTCAAGGTCGTCTTTGTGTAAGCCGAGTGAATGCGTAGGTACTGCAGCACTTTATTATTGCATGCGTGTCTTAGGTGATTGATCGGCTAGAGGCTCCGGCTAAGACGATATTGTCGATACAGGGCCCGCCGCGTGGGAAACCGGGCGACAACACACGCTCAGAGCTATCACAGGTATGATAATCGCCACCCGTTGACCATCGCGATGAGAAAACGATGCGAAAACCGCCGTCAGAGTAGTCGGCTCACAAGTACAGGTTAAAAATAATTCATATATCGCAGACAATTTTAACGATTCCTCCATCACATCTCAAGTACGACTAGTTTTTGCTTCCAATCGATGCAGTTTTTGCACCCAAGAGACGGTTCTTGAGAGCATAATATCCTTGTGACACACCGATACCGGGCAAAAAACAAGCACCCAGCGCTACCAGCAATACACGCTCTCGTCACACGACCTTTGCGCCCTCCGTGCTATCCCTCAAGTGCAGCAATATCCACACCAACCTGGTCAATTCACCAGCTCAACAGTAATAAAAGTGTTATCTCATCACTATAGCTATGCGTGGTGAGATACTGTATCGCGAGATCAGGCGTTGAGAGTACAAAGTGCGTGAAAACGATGTCTGTTGGACTGAAACCCATTTCGAAAAACACACACTGCACAGGCACACATCACAAAATAATGTTATGGTGCTATCACTGCACGCTGTAACCATCATATTCTGTAATTAACCATAAACGCTGTCATTGATATTTTAAAATAGACTATCACTGGGTATCCACGATATCCATTCGAATATCAATATCACAAGATCATCAGAACGATGAGGTAAACGTTGGTGTAAGTGTTCTTCAGGAACATTCAATGGTACTTTTGGGCACAACCTTCCTGAGAAGTTTCACAGAGCGTCTATGCTGACCTGTGGAGTGTGGGGTCTCCACCACGGGGCACAGCACAGCATCTGCGACCTCTGAACGCTGGATGAAAACTCCCGCTAGGCGGGCCGGTAGGAGCGTTTGATGGAGCAGTGGGGGTACAGGTGCCGCCACAGTGCCACCTGGGCCTCCGAGACCTGGGCGCAGAAACTGACGTCCAGCAGACGCAGGTCTGGGCACCGCGACAGCACGCTGAAAAACAGGCACAGCGTGAAGGAACCAACGATACAGCACGATGAAAATCAGACACAGCGTCAATAACGCAAGGAGGAAAGGCAGATTAGGGTAGCAGCTGCGGTTAGCAGTCCTGAATATTCCACAACATATTTCGTAAGACGAGACTGATTAACGCGCCGTTCTTTGCGAATTGCGATTCATTACGGAGCGAGCGAAGCGAGCGTAGTCTTTCCTTAGATTAACGGAAATTTCTGAGTATGAGCGGCCGGCCGGCCGGCCGTGGTCACGCTTTTGCGAGGCTTATATCTCAGCAACCACTTGACCGATTTACACGCGGTAATTTTTGTAGGGTAGCTTCATTCCTTCTACCAAGTATTGGACTATTCCCGATGCATGTGGGTGACTCCTTATGCACGTGCCACGTGCAAAACGAAGAGGTGTCCGTTTTGTAATTGTTGCAATATCTCGGTAACTACTGGGCCGATTGCGCTGAGAGTTGGCATGTAGGTAGGCACCCACTAGGCAATGCATAATCATATGCATGTGCCAGAGTTGGGGCGCTGCTGCACGTGCGCACGTGCAGGGGTCGTTTCCAGATCTCGAGAACGGCTCGATCAATTACCCTCAAATTTGGTACACAGTTAGGGACCGGTTAGTGGGGTGCAGTGCACAAGTCAGTTGGGACCCATTTTGCACGTGCGCACGTGCAGGGTGCCGCTTCCAGATCTCGAGAACGGCTGGGCCGATTGTGCTCAAATTTGGCACATCGCTAGAGACCGGTTAATAGGGTGCCGTGCACAAGTCAGCTTGGAGGTACCCCCTCGAAATTTCGCACGTGCAAGGCTCACCCTCTCGCTCGCTCCGTTAGTCGCCCCAAAAGGCGCTATACTGGTTGCATAGTCTCATGATCATGAGCTTCCCAGCGTCTCTCGCGCCTCTGACACAGCGTAATTAACCTGACTTAGGGATGGTGTACCTTTCGACGGCCTCCGGGCGGACCAGGCTGGCGCCGAGGATGTCCAGCTGCTGCATCTGACGGTTGTGCTCGGCGATCAGCTGTAGGTCCCCGTCCTGGATCATCCTGGAGTGCAGCGGAGCAGACGGCGCTTCAGACGGACATTCACATCACATCACGTCAGTGCCCATTGGCGGTGCAACCTGTTCTACCGACAATTAGCACAGATCTTAACAGCTGGGGCCTGGGGACGGTTATCGTTAACTTTTACCGATATGTGCGCCATGCAACTTGCATGTAATATCGGTGGGTTTAACACAAAGCAATGGTCTATTGTACCATGCCTACAGTTTGGCTTTACAAGGGTGGCGTGAGTCAGACCGTGTGGTTTGGCAGTCGCGCTCGCATCTCACCTGAGTGAGGTCAAGAAGAGCTTCTTGAGATTCGGGAAGAATGGAGATATATTCCTGAGAAACGGTAACTCCCCTTCCTGCACTGCCGCTCGGCTGCAAAATCAAAAAGAGCAAACGTTCTGTTTAGTGATAATACTAAACGAAGGAAAACGGGCACAAAACGTAACGAATCAATATCATCCACAAGGCAATGCAATGCAATACACAGCTTCTTTTGAATTTGTTTGATATTGGTATGGCCAGCGAGGCTCCAGGACTGGACAGTGGACATTCTCCACACTGTAAAAATAAATAAATAGCTGTCACCCTTCCCCTTCCCCGCGACACCCGTTCTCCTATCGCCCGTCTCACCACCAGCCGAGGTCGAGCTCCTCCAGTCGGCGGCAGCTCTGGATGTGTCGCAGCTCGGCCCAGCTCAGCTCGCGCTGTTTCCACAGCACCAAGGAGCGCAGGTCGGCGCTGCACTCGCCCAGCGCCTCGCACACGTGCCACAGCCGCTGTAGACGCTCACACAAACCTGCCGGGCAGGACATAAAGGGATACAGGGTTAGGAGAAACGATTGCCTATGTTGACAAACCGGCATGACGCATCTAAAGAATGTTTTGGGTAAATGAGGGTTAATTTAAGTATATTCGGTTACCATAAAGTTTTTTCTGGATCCGTCAATGTCCAGACTACCGACTATCCCCAGCGACAAGCCGTTAGGTGCCCACAAACTGACAGCCAAGCCCCGGCAGTAATGACAGACTTTCCTAGTCGTCACCCACCCAGGCCGAGGTGCTGCAGTCCGGTGGCGTTTCGGATGAAGGTGGCCAGCGGAGCGGCAGTCACCTGGGTGCGGTACAGATCCACGCGGCGCAGGTTACACAGGTACTGCAGACTCCAGAAGGCGTCATCCACCACCGCCCGGCAGCTGCGCAGACTCAGCTCTGACGGAGGCGGAGACGCAGTCAGAGAGTGGGTTTGGCGGTTGTTTACGGGCGAGGTGACTGCATGGCCATTGGCACTCTCCCCTTTTGTACTTACGCACTCAAGAAACGGCCAGCAGCACAAATGCTGGCGGGACAATAATAAATGAGACAAGGTGATATGCAAATGCCGTTGGCAGGGCAAATATGATTACTAAATGTGACAGATATCTGGGTTAGAGAAGCATAACATAGGCAAGCTGACAAGAATTTATCGACAACAATGCATATACGTCATAGGGCTGTCATTTAATCCACCATTTTGCCGTCCGTCACACGCCTCGCTCACCTTCGAGTCCGCGGCAGAAGAGGCCCGTCCACTCCATGCAGAGTCCGTTGAACCAGTCACAGGCGTCCACCCGGAGACTGACGAGCCGAGAGCCCAGCTCCGACAGCAGGCTGTCGGAGGAGAGCACAGTCACAGGTCAGAGTCATCGGCAGCAATGAGCACCGCCTGGCGCAGAGCACTGTGCCAGCAACATCAGAAGCAGATCAGCACAAGACCTCGGCCAACGGGAGAAATGACAGTCGTGGAGGGCATAGCACAAGATGATACTTGGTATCATGGCAAGACGGTGAACTATTGGCGAAAGCTGATGGCATAAGGTCAATTATGCCAGCGACATCATTAATTGTGAGGGTCAAGCGGGACAAGTTAATCACTGACATCTCTCGACACACGTACTTGCAGAAGTCTGCGTCGCTGAGCGCCCCGTAGTTTCCGCACCAGGAGAGGTCCAGTTTGGTGAGGCAGGAGGCGCGGCTGGTCAGGAACGGTACGATGGACGTGTCGACCAGGTGCCAGTACGGCTGAGGACGAACACGCGGGACAGACGCACAAATCACGTACATGTATTATATGATCAGTGTAAAACCCTAGAAAACTCAGCTGTCCGACCCAAAACACACATTCAATGCGCGGCCTAACTCTAAGGAATCAAGAAAATAATTTTATTCGAAATATCACCATCCCATCAAGTCCGGGAAAAGCAAAGTCTCCAGCAGTTCTTTCAAGCTGATATTAGACCAGCAGGCTGACAGCTGAGTTTACCAGCAAGCCGAGTTATGAGTAGAACAACAGGCCTGGTTACCTGCAGGTCGAACTACGAATAGAGCAGCGGGTCGGAGCAGAGGCCTGTTTAGGTACATAGCTGGAAGCCTAGCTGTGACTACTGCTGTGAAGCAGCGGGTCAGAATAAAGGCGTCTGTTTATGCACACACCTGCAGGTCCAGTTGTGAGTAGAGCAGCGGGTCGGAGCAGAGCCGGTGCAGATGTCGGCAGGTTAGCGACAGACGGCTCAGGCTCACCAGGTCCAGGCACGACAGCACCCGACAGATGATCTCCTCCTGGAAGGGTGTCAAACCAGCAGCTCGCTATAATTGTCCCTTTTAACGTTTGACGCTTCCAATATGTTATATTTAAATGCGTCAGATGAATGCTCAATCATCAACTCGACACTACAAACAAATATGCAGTTCACATGTCGGTCTTCAAACCCCATACCCCTCCACAAACACCACACACGGCCTCACTGCCACCCACCGGCAGCTGCAGCAGGGCCGAGTCCGGCGTCGGGCACTCCCTCCTCTGACGCCGCTCCTCCTCCTCTGCCTTCCTCCCAAGCTCTGCCAGCTCGCGCACTCTGTCCTGCAGCTCCTCCGGCTGAAGAACAGTCGGCATCAGAGCGAAGAGCCGCGCCGAGAGAGGCCGCAGCGGCCGGCCGCGCAGCAGGCGGGCGGGGGACGGCGGGCGCACACAGCCCACCAGCTGCACGGCGTCCAGACCCGTGTAGTAACCCAGGTGGTCACAGTTCAGCTCCAGACGCAGCTGCCTGGCGAGGCGATAGGGGAATAAAGAAGCATCAGAGGGGAGGCTTCTTCCTATCCATCAGACTATCCATCAGAGGGGAGGGAGAAGACAAGGAAAGAAACGGGGACCTAGCCCATACCGGCGGTACCTAGGTATATTTTCTGTATTCAAATATTTCATGGCGAAATTTGGTGACGAAAAAAAGCATGGTGAACATGAGAACTTACAAAAAATCCCTCATCTCAAACGATTTGATTGCTCATACGACCTAAATACGGAGCCGGTGATTTTTAGTTTCAGGTCATAAGCGTCAGGAAACTTATCAAAGAAAACATATCACAGCAGCCAATTAAGATCATTAAGCACTGGTTATTTATTGTCCACCGAGCAATGACCAAATCCACAGTCTCCCTCTCTCTCCCCAGTTCCCACATGACGTTCGACCCCCAGGCCACACGGCCCACGAACCTGACGGGTCTCCGGAGTATCTTCAGCGGCGGGCTGAAGGGCTGTCGGTGGTCCTCAGGCTGCGCTCCGGGCCGGCGGCGCCAGAGGAGGGTCCAGCGCGGCCCGTCCGGCTCCTCCCAGCGTGCCCAGAGCCGGCACACGCCACCCGGATGGTAGCACTCGAACACTCGTACCGACAGCACGTACACCGCCGTGTCGAAGCCGACGTCTGCGGGGGGGGGGGGGTAGAGGGGTAGGAGGGACGGTTAGAGTGATATAGCGATTGTGGTCTAATAGGCACCACGATGCAAGATAGCCTGAGAATTTAGGGCCTTGGCCTGAGACATATAGATAATTAGTTGCAATTTCAAATTGACTTATCTCCAAAGAGTAATATTCAGTATGCAAGAACAACGTGCTATAATTTGCCACGAAGTGAAAACCACCTATATAGCAAGGCAGATTAAACATACCGATAAAGTCTCGCGCTGGCACATCCAGAGGTGCGCTGGTGCTGAACTGCCGACGTCCCGACGGACAATCATCCCACCAGGTCCCATACGTGGCCTGAAAATTGTCGTAGATAAGCATTATGGATGACAAGATCCGACAATGGGCGATCAGCACCTCTTCAATAGCCTTTTGATGGTTCAGTGTTTAACCCGCGCCCCACTGGGGGGGGGGGGGGGCTATTTATAGCCCCCCTCCCGTTTTTCTGCAATAACTTCCAAACCGCTTGACGTATCGACGCCAAACTTTCAGTACCTTCGGCTGCATCAATTCGACACCTTGTATCAAAATTTGAACTTCGTAGCTACCATAGGTCGGCCGGAAATGACGTCAGAGTGACGTCATGTTCGGCCGATTTCGACGCAAAACATCGAACCACGGGAATCGCTCCCAAGGGCTCAGTTTTTTTAGCTAGATCCAATTTCTTTGCATGGGAGGACTCAGAATAGACTGCGCTATCAAACTGCTATCTCGGATTTTCGAAATTTTGAAAATGTCGAAAATTTTATATAATAAAATTCAAAATTTACATTTTTACATTTTTTTCAAAAAGTTTTTGACTTTTCGAAAAAACGGAATATATGTGATAGAACGCGTTATTATGACTAACTCTAGCAAGTTTTAGCTAAATATCTTCAAAAATGCCCAAGTTATACGCATTATTGCAAAAAATCACAATTATTAATTTTTAAAATCAATTTTTCACCACGTATTTGACATCGTACGCCAATATAAATAGCACCATCGTGTTCCTGAGCTCAAACTGCATCCAATAGACACATTTTCTGTTGAAAAATTATAACTTCAAAATTTGACCTTTTTTGACCTGAAAGTGACCCGACCTAAGCTAAATTCGACTCAAAATGACCTCGAATGACACAGACGACATCAAATTCGAAATCTTTGGCCTAAATGGACCATAAAACATGTGTCACGTGACCGACGCATGATATAATATTTTCGTGACCTGTGATGACCTGACCTTGACCTGAAAATCAAAGTACAAGTTTGGTACCCTCAGGGTATCTAGAGCATCTGTTCACGAGTGTGTGAACCAAAAATGAGCCTGATCTGACTTGAAGACGGCGGCCAGAGCCCAAAACGTGAACAAGCCAAAATGCTAATAATTTTTATTTTGACCTGACCTGTGACGTCATCGGTGACCTCGAGGTCAATGAAATTAGGTTTCGCTCGAAAGTTTTTCCGGGGCTATCAGACGCCGTTTGAATTTTGACGATCGGCCCAGTAGTTTCGGAGTTAGGAGGGGGGCTATGAATAGCCCCCCCCCCCCCCGTAGGGCGTGTTATACGCAGACCCCAGTGGGGCGGGTAAGCCATTGGTAAGGAAATAGTTGGGAAATAGTCAGTTTTTTTTTGTATGCCAAATACAGGGGCTAATTACCCCACCGGGCATGATAAGAAACTGGGAAACCGGACTTCCTATCAGTGCGTCTATTGATTCTTGCTATCATAGTGGTTACTGATTAGCTCATGCTCGGTGAAAGAACTTCTAAAGCTGAACATCAATTAAATATCAGTTATCGCCGCCGACAACTACCGTCCACCGTTACCAGGGACTGAGCTCCGGATCGCGAACTATACTTTAAATGTTAGAGATGCCACTGACCAGCACTGCCGAGCTGGCGAAGTCGCCCTCGACCCCCGGTTGTGACGGCGGCCCGATGATGTTTGGCACGGTGTAGGAGATGGTGCCCTCTCCACCGTACTGGGACGAGAAGTGGGCGACGCTAGACGCGTACTGCTCCAGATCGCCATCATCACTGCTGCACACCATCTTATAACATAATACGCAAATGGCTGAAAGGAAAAGCAGATATAATTTGTCACGCTATAATTTAGGTCATGACTTTTTCATGACTTTTCCAAAACCAAGGTGAATTATTCAGAGTTATTACAAGCCAAACATGTTGATACCAACTATCTTTGGGTCACTGACATGATCAGCAGTTTGCCTGAGAAGTTGCAACAGGTAGTATTGTTATTTAGCTTACATGTGGAGAGTAAGCTTCCTTTTTTACAAATTTATAGATTGATGAAGGGCCAAATGTGAAAGGGAGTGCACACTCTGCAAATATCCCTTGTTCATTGGGAGGATGCATATTGTAGAATGACAGGTGCCAGCAACTGGACTAACCTAAGGTAACTGTATGTACCAAGCAGCATGCTTCTCTTCAGCTTGCAACAAGGTCCTGTCATGCAGAGCCTGTTAATGGGCACTTCATCAATTGTCACTATCAGCAAGCATAGAGGTGGGGTCATTTACAATATGCAAGTGATATGTTCATGGACTGGGGCCGGCCTCCCTGATGCCCAATTTCTTAGGTTAGGTATACGTCATCATCTGACCTTACCATTTACCCTTGAGCTATGTCAGTGCATTTACAGAATGAATTAGGGGATCCCGTGGGATTCCTTGCATTTCGCAATCCCCCAACAGCTGTTTTCATGAAGAATTCCTCAGAGTGGAAAATGGAAATTCTGCACGAAAAACAGCATGTCCGAACGCAGGCCAAGTTCATGGAAGGATTAACATTCAGTTCAGTCTTCATAGCCTAAATTAAAAGGGTTATCTAATGGCAGGCCTCTCAGTTGCTGCCACCCCGCTGTAAGTACTTCATGTCAAAACTTACCTATGTAAAAGAGCCATGCCAATGGTTTGATACACCACAACATAAGATGTAGGAATGTGGATACGTACAGTCCACAGCAGAAGTAATGTACCATTTCAGTCATGGGTATGGTCTGCTTCTGAAGCCTAGGAACGATTAGCCAGACTACAATGAACCTTTGAACATAGCTTACATGTATCGTCACCCTTGCAGCTGCAACTTTATCTATCAATATCTTCTTTCCAATCACTCCGTATTAAAAAATCGCAAGTCAAAGCCATCCATTGAGATTGGTGAAACCGCACATCAACATTACTTTAGCGGTGGACTGTAGCCTGTACCTACCCATTTTACTTTATTCCAACTTAGCCATACGGGCCATACGTTAGGCCATATACCATGCAAGCAAATGTGTTCACATTCTTATTTCATGCAGCATAGGGCCCAGCATAGATTTAATTCATGAATACCAAGACACTTTCATTTAAAACTTACCCACTCTGGTTGGCATATGTTTTTGATTGGCTATTTTCTTTATTTTGATTGCTTTGAGGAAATTTCACTTATGTGATATGTCAAAAGCGCGTCAGAATCACGACAAAATATTTATAAAAGCACACCATAATGGTACGAAGTGAGGATATTCGTGTGAAAGGTTGGGGAATATTTTCGCATGTTTCGAAAATATTTTTACTCACTCTTTTCAATGAATTTAATCTTATAAATAAGCATTCATTTTATTCTTTTTGAATCAAAAATAAGAGAAAAGAAAAGTATTGAACTGTTCTAAAGTCTGAAGAAAGTGTGAAAAGAAGGTCACAAAGTCCTCATGTTGAGAGAAAATAGAAAAGCACGCCAAGTAGTACACTTTACCGTTTGCAAAAGAAATACATTGCATGAAGCGTCAATATGAAGTCGCTGTGTGTTGTTGTTGTATTGAGTTTCCAAGTGTTAAAAGACTGAATTTTAATTATATCTGCCAATATTTTGAGTGTTTTGCTAACCTAATAGAAATGCAATGGTCGACTTACAACAATAGTTGTTAGCAAACAATATTGACTTTTAACTTCAATTGTTTGACAATCCCAATGGACGATTCTGATTCTGGGCTCAGTCATGCACATTTAGGAGAATTTCAGAAACAGGTTAGTACCTATATGGCCATTTGATGTCCCAATACTGGGCTCTGTTTAACAGCACCCTACTAGCAGCCATTAGCACTTGTGCACTATTGCTTCTTTTGGTTTCCTGGAGTTGTCAGCAATTTTGGTTGCTGTAATGCTGAGGGATATCATTGCATAAGTAGGTAAATTTAACACTGCTTTGGACCATATTAAAAGCTGTGGTTTGGCCTGAGTCACATAATGCTGTGCATATTGACCACTTACTTACGCTGTCAGTTCATAGAACCTGCTTGTAGCGACTAGCAGTATGCCTGATTGATGATACAGGGCCCTGGATTTGTTATTTATCAATTTTAAGGGCTAATTATTTATAATCATGGCACTTTGTCTGCAGCACTTAACTAAGATCTGATATCTTTTGCAAAAGCACAGTGGTCTTTAACAAAGATCTTTATTGATATGTCTGCATTTTGAGCTTCTAAGTTTCTTGTCTGCTGTATTTTTATCAGCATTTAATAAAGGTTAAGTTATACCATATTATTTAAAATAAAATTGAGATGTGTTAAATGTTTAAGGGCAGATGAGCTTCAAATTCATCTATGAACTATGAAGGTTGTTAGGTGTGCTTGCTTATTTAATTGAAGTTTGTTGTGACTGTGCGCTGTTTTTCAGCTTTCAGATGTGATGGTCACATATCAGCACCTGCCTGAGGGTGAGCAGCCAGCTGCCTTTCACCTGCTGCAGGCCTCTCTGGGGCCTCTGCTGGCCGTACCTGCCGACTACTGCCTGTCAGGACAGCAGTCTGACCAGCAGCTGATCATCACAGACCAACCTGCTGCTGAAGCTCAGAATGCACCTGTGCAGCAGGTGGCACTGCAGGCAGCAGAGGACCACCAGTGTACTACAGAGGGCCAGGAGCAGCAAACTGGGGCCAACCAAAGTCAGAAGGCCACCAGAGATCATGATTTTGAGGATGAGTCAGATGACATGAATGTTGAGGCTGAACCTCTGACCTCAGAGCATAATGAAATAGCAGAGGAAGAGGATGACTCACTTGGGGAAACAGGCAAAGAGACTGGTGGTCTGCAGCCTGCCTCTAAAAGGTAATGCAATTTGCATGCTGGCTTGCATATTTTCATTGATTTAAGATTTTCCTCTTCAATTTAAAGGCTACAGTTCCCACTGAATGATTTAAAAGATGAAATATAACCCCCTGGGCCAGCAGAATTAGTGTTCTTTTTTGTCTTGATCTGCTTTTCTCATGTTCAGCCTGTGTGCTGTATTATAAGAATTTCAGTAGTTCTGTTGATGGGAGCACTGACTAAGTACAGCTGGAAATGAATTGGATGCATTTCATTTACCTTTCAGCGTTACACTGCAGGTTGTTACACTAGTGTTGCTTTTGTTTTCAGTCCACAAACCGATAAAGATGTACCCATGGCGCCCTGCGAGACATACCCAGCTGGCTCTGAAGGGCAGCCTGCAGGGGAAGCTGCTGAGACTGGTCCCCAGCAGGCCTCTGATGGAGCTGCCAAGCAGGAGTGGGACCAGTCCACCAAGAATGCAGCAGCTGCCAACCAGCAGGCAAGTGCAAAATACATGCACTTCAGAGAGATGCAGGGATTGGGCAGCACTGGAAATAATGGGTTCACAATATGACTTGGCATGACCTATTTCATAGTTATCGCTTTGGCATTATGAAAGAACCACTTATTACAAAATAACACTCTGAATCAATATTTTGGTAATGTCAGTAATGATCTATAAGTGTTCATTTTTCTTGAAAAAAAAACAATAATGGTAAACAGTGATGTTCATTTACAGAGAACAAATACTCATTCACCACACCTAGCTCACCATTCCGTCTGCGGCCGCCCGCAGGAGACCGACCCGCCCCCAGCGGCAGCGGCCCGCGGTAAGAAGGCGGCTCGCCGGCCGGACGCCGCCCGGTACGTCTGTCCGGCGCCCGGCTGCGGCCGGCCCTGCGGACACCGCAAGTCGCTGGTGCTGCACGTCAAGTGGGACCACCTGCAGGCGCCTGTCTGCTGCCGCGCCTGCCGCAGCGAGCTCAACACGTACGCCCACTTCCTCTACCACAACCGCACCTGCTTTCAGGGTGAGTGTGATCAACGATGTACGATTAAAAGTACGATGTATTCCGATCGATGGCGTACGGCTGCACCCAACGGCTGTAGGGTGCAATGATGCGATGCGTGACGAAACAAGTAGCGTGCAATCTCAGGACAATCGTACAGTGTTTGATTTTGATAAAGATGTGTGGCATGCGTGGTTTATCGAGGATCCTGGTCTTACTTGCGAACTTCTACATTCATTGATGCAAGAAAAGTGTGATGCTTAATTGCTACTGCTTAAGCTTAGTCTCTAAATGCAGTATCCACAATACCTATGGACTTTCCTCTGTATCCTCAAGTCCTACTCCCAATAATTACTGAATGTACTGCTTCGGTCCGTCGCAGGCGTCAGCGCGCTAGTCTGCCCCGACTGCGACGCCCGCTTCACCATGGAGCTGCCGTACAAGCGGCACCTGGCCGGCCACGCGCTGAACGCCTGTCATAAGTGCGGCGAGCGACTCTCCAGTCGGAAGGCGCTCGTCAAACACCTCCGGCACGAGCACAACATCCGCGAGTGTGAAAAGTGGTTCACGTGCGACAAGTGCCCCAAGAAGTTTATGAAGAAACGCTCCTGGCTGACGCATTCGAAGGTGAGGGAGTGAACGGTTTTGTGTGTGTTTGATAGCATAATCTTTTGTGACCTGTTGATTTTGATGTGATGCCGGGAAAGATGATTGGTGATCATCAAAACTTCATAGCGCTGTTTTCGTTAGACTGTTCTCAAATAGCTCTTGTACCAACACATTCTGAATGTGTTGTGTCGAAATTGTATATTTTCCGTTTCCATTCTTTTTTTTAAACCAATATTGAGTCGTTACAAAATAATCAGCTGGTAGTACCTGTTTTTATAACCCGTCCCCTCCGCCGTCGTCAGGTCCACGCCACCCAGGACGACACACAGTGCGGCCGGTGTGGGCTGACGGTCAGCAAACAGCGACTGGCGGAGCACATCAAAACCGAGCACGGACACGAGCCGTTCACCTGTGCCACTTGCCACAAACGGTTCCGGCGCAACCAGCAGTACCTGCAGCACATGCGGGTGAGTGCCGACGGTGGGGTGCAGACCTGATTCTTGGGTAACTTTGGAGTGGGTTAATTTGAGTAGAGGATGGATCACTGGGGGTAGAATCCCGGGGCTGGTCGTGCGTTTTTGTGGATTTTAGTTGTGGATGGTGCGTTTTTTCGTGTGATGATCTTCAATTGCTTTTTTAACTATCGTCTTTTGCAGGTCTTGTTTCTGGGATCTTTCGCACCTACTCTGTACTTTTCCCACCGATGTGAAATGGGCTTGTGTTATGTATCCTCAGTCATGTCACAATCATGCTCGTTGCGAGTGCGCCTTTGGCCATTCTTCTATCAGATTCGTTTTTGTGTGAGGTACAGATTCATGTACCTCAGTTCTTCATGTCCGCCCCGTCCCCCCTTTGACTCTCCCTCTTCCATCTCCTTAGCTGCACGAGCGTCGAGCAGTACGACTGCTCTCTGTGCTGCCAGCTGCCGTTTGTCCCCCACTAACCCTCCCCTTCCCTCAGCTTCACGAGCAGTACGACTGTTCGCTGTGCGGCCAGCCATCCTATCCCTCACTAGTGACCCTCCCCTCCCCTCCCTCAGCTTCACGAGCAGTACGACTGTTCGCTGTGCGGCTAGTTATTCTATCCCCCACTGACCCTCCCTTCCCCTCCCTCAGCTGCACGAGCAGTACGACTGTTCGCTGTGCGGACAGCCATTCGTCACGCAGCCCGAGTACGCTGCTCACATGCAGAGCGCACACCAGATACAGCCGGATCTGCTGACCGGTCCGGCGCTCACTCGCTACCGGTGTGAGGTGTGCGGCGCCGCCTTCTGGTCTCGCACACAGCTCAGCCAGCATCTGGACTCACATCCTGACGGTGAGAGAGTGGGCGACCGGGATCGTGTCAGTGTCTTGGGGTAGGTTAGATTGTGTTGGTTAGGGGATGGGCATCACGAATTGGGTGACGTGGTTTAGGTTGACGCCATCGATGGTGAGAGAATCAATGGATCGGAAAAGGATGGGCTGAACTGTTGAGTGTTGAAAATAAGCGCATTGTTCTGTATGGTATCGTATTGTTTAGCGCGGTGTTCGTTGCTACTGGGTCAAGTTATACGCTAGGTACCGTTTCTCTGCTGGTGTAACCCGTTACCCGACCACTGACTTACTGCTCTCCGCCGTCGTTCGGCAGTGTCCCTGGAGTGCTCCCGTTGTCAGACCGAGTTCGAGACGGCCGCTCAGCTGCACCGTCACCTGCGCCGCTCGCTGTGCTCGCGCTCACCGCAGCTCATCTGCCATCACTGCGGCGCGCAGTTCTGCGCTCACTTCGCGCTCCGCAAGCACCTGGTGCGCGCGCACGGCGAGGGCCCGGCCAAGGTCGGTCGGTGTCCCCACTGCGACTACACCAACAGTAGCGCGGCCAACCTGCGGCGACACATAGCTGCCCACGAGCAGCTGGCACGGCGGTACGTCTGCGACCAGTGCGCGGCCGCCTTCCACACACTGAGCACCCTCAAGGACCACCAGCTGTACGTCCACACCACGGAGAAACGCTTCACCTGCGGCGAGTGCCAGAAGGCGTTCAAGACGAGCAGCTCGTTAAATCGCCACATGCGCGTTCACTCCGAAACCCGACCCTATCAGTGCTACTGCGGCAACTCGTACAAACGCATGTCCCACCTGCGTCGGCACATGACCGCCGTGCACAACATGCGCACGCGCACGAGGCTGATTGAGAGGTTCGACGGCAGTGCGGCGGCCTCTTCAGACAGCGGGTCAGATGGCACGGGATCGACTGGCGCCGGCGGCGGCGGCGGAGCTGGCGAGAGCGGTGGTGGCGGAGGTACCGCCAGCAGCGGCGGCGGTGACTCGGGCGGACCGGAGCCTGTCACCGAGGCCGCAGTAAGCGAGCCCGCCCAGTGGAGCGGCCTGATGAGTGAGCACGGCGTCGCCTACATCCCGGACGAGGGCGTGCTGAGGCTGTACTCTGTCGATACTGGGGAGGAGCTACCCGAGGAGTTCACCCTACCCCAGGGCATCTACAACACCGAGGCCGTGTTCCTCGCCGACGGATCAAGATCGATCGTGCTAAAACCGGCCGGTGAGTTGTCTGGTCAGTTGGATGTGAGCGGGGGTGGCGAGCTGGTGGCGGCGGGGGCGGCGCAGGAGCCGACCGCTACCCTGCCGCCACCCTCCACCATCCGCTCGTCTCAGCAGAGCCGACTGGTGTGAGCGCCGGCGAACGGGTGTGTATCTCTAGACTTTTGGGATCGGCAGAGTCGCTCGCCCCGCTGCGATGTGTGTTCGGTCTAACCGTGCGGGGTAACCATACCGGTTTGTTTGTATTGGTGTCCGACCGGTCAGGGATTGAGCTTCAATCAAATGCTACCGCCCTGAGCCCCGTCCGGCAGTCGATACGTACCGTGCGATGGGCGACGTGCTTGTTTGTTCACGTAGTTTATTGTGCGTTTTCTGAGAATCGGCTCAATTGGAATCCGGATGGCGTTATTGCGCTACCAACTGTAATCACGAGTAAATGTCAGGGCAATTGTGAATTGCTCGCAATTTTTACACGACTGCTTGTTGGGTGTTCACAGGGTCATGAACCATGATAGAGGGAGTTGGGTGAAATTTGAACGAGTGGGGGCATGCGGGTACTCTGGATGGTGTGTCCCCTTTCATGGTTTATATGGGCTGTTGTTTATGTGATATTTGTCGCATTTCAGCGTCGTGTTGGATGGATAATATCTGAGGAAGGTAGCTTCTTCCTAATATTGGATTTTTGTGACGCTGATGTGACTGAAATACAAGCAGTTAAATGTTATAGCTTTTTTTCGTATGTGGGTTGTACGGATTTTATTCTTATACCGAGTACCGACGTTACATGAGCAAGTTGGAACGAATTTTCCTATTCGCTCGGCTTTGTGATCCGTTTGTAACACGTATTTTCTCTGCTCATGTGTCCCCGGTCTTTTTCGCACTTCTCAGTTCTCTGCAGTCGTGGAAACGCTTTCAAGTTTCAGCTTTGTTCGTTCATTGGGTACCAGTCTAGGGCAGGGCCAATCGGCGGCTGGTTTAGATCCTGGGGAAACGGATGCGCCGATGCGGTTGAATTCTGAATTTATCAATCAAAATTATAACCAATGACAACAGGAATGATCCGGAGCAACGGGTGCTCATTGCTCAACAACGATCATAGGAATACAGCAATGCACTCAAGATTACTTTACTTATATGCACTGCACTGTCTGTCAAGTCAAGTTTTCTTTCCGATACGAAATTTCTCGTAACAGTAACAATATGCCAGCATCTGGCATCTCAACAAAGGACATTTATGACGCAGCTATGACATATAATTTCAAGTGATATTCATTCTGCATTTATGCTAGCGTAAACATTTGCAACATGTTACCCAATGATCGGCCTGTTTTTCTCGTTACCATGGAAATTTGGGTTTAGTATAGACCACCGAAAATATCACAAGCGGCTTCTGAACACTAAAAATCTGGCCATGGGGGGAAAACAAGGCAAGTGAAAACGTACGGTATATAGGGCCTTGCGCCGATCGATGGTCCCGACCCGATCGCTTGGGATGCTATTATTAGTTTAAAATTGATTCGTAGTTGTTTTTGCTATTTACTTATCAATATGGGAAAGAGTAACAAAGCCAAACGAGAAAAGAAGGCAGATTTTACTAAAGTGAAATTGAAGGTTGGGAAGAAGCTTCCAAAAGGTCAGAACCTAACAGACACCAGCTTCAAGTCTAAGAAGATTGTGATCGGCAATCAACTTAAGAAGCAAGATAATGAAACACCTGTAACGAAGAAGAAACTCTCCTTGAAGGTAGGTGCATAATTTATCGTGTGTGAAGTTTGTTATGAATGTTGTAACTTGCTTGGATTCAGTAATTCAATTTGACATTTACCGTCATTCGGGGTGACTTAGATCGTCGGGGTGACTATGATAATGCCCCGGGTGACTATGATAGCCCACAGGAAAACCACAGAACCACAGGAAAAGGGGGCAAAGGATCTCTGCTCTTGCAGGGATGGCAGTACAGGCACAGCACCTCAAGCCATCAGGGTCTGGGACACAAGAAAAGGACAAAGCAAGGGACAAAACCAAAGAAGCGAAGCTTCGCTGAGCAAGACAAAGAAAACGAGTCAGCAGAGGAGCCAGACTCAGGGGAGGAGGAAAAGTGTAGTATCTGTGAGAGGTGGAACCCCCCTGGAGCCACAGGGGACAAGATCATTAAGTGGGAAGGGTGTGAAAACTGCCAGAAATGGTACCATGTGTCATGCATTCAAAGTGAAATGAACGATGCTACCGCAGTCGTGGAAGAGTACTGTGATTGTACCTGGTGAGAAGGAAAACCACACAAGACGTGAAGATGTGACCATCTGTGACATGTTTGGCTCCTTGCCAGTTGTGCTTGCCCACAAAAGTTACAGTTTGACATTTTTAAAGTGTTAATTTTAAGTGTTTTGTGACCACATGCGTCCGAAAGTGGGTGAATTGTGATCACTTTATGTTTTCAAGAAAAAAGACATCAAGTTTGCATTGGTGCAAAATACTTTTTTTAAAACAAACATACCTATCATAGACACCCCCATTGCTGTGCTTGTTTGACCAGTCAACTCATTAACAATGCAAATAATGAGGGGTATCATAGTCACCCCGACCTTGGTGTGACAATGATAATTTATTAACCAAAAAAATAAAATATAAGGGAGTGATTTTAAATATTCAGATATACACCATCATGCACAGAATTCCCTATTTGGTATCTTGAAACAAACCCTGGTTCAAAATATCTTTTCAGATCTCCCCTGCATTGAAGAAAATAGCAAAAGTTTTACAAAGTCACCCCGAATGACGGTACCGAGTTGTCTGCTTAAAATTGATTTTCTGTAAATGTGCTACTAGCATGCAGAATCACTAGTAGTATGGAATTATACCTTATTAGTTATTATGGAGTGTGCCTGAATGAATTATCCATATACCAAATAAGCATCCAAATGTGGAGGTATTTGATTGATCATTCTTCGACTTTTCCCACACTTTTCCACAGGAGCTGCTGTCCCATCTTCAGCACTTTAGCGTGTATGTGCGCCAGGATGGTCTGAATGGGCTGCGGGAGCTTCTGACTGCGCACCCAGAGCTGGTGGTGCCCTCTCTTGGCCAGATACTGCCAGCTCTGGCTGGACTGCTAGTGGACGAGGACTACCAGCTGCGCACAGACACAGTCAAGCTGGTGACTGAGATCAACGAGCAGGTCAGTGTTCTACTAGAAGATTAAGTAATCTTAAAGAAGTTTCAATTTTTTTCCAAATCCACAACATTCATTGAGCTGCTTATTCATGTCTGTCTTCTTGATGTTCAATGGTCATTGTCTCCTTGTGCAAGTAGGTACCTGCCTTACAACCTAAAGCACATTATTTGAGAGTACAGGACATTGCTTGCCAACATTTTCAACTACTTTAAGGACCAAGATTGTTTCCCTTTGTGTTTGAACTTTGAGCTGTCCCCATTCACAGTTCAGCTGATCATGACTGGGTTTTTTACCTTGCCAGGTGACGGAGGCGCAGATCGCGCCATTTTTCCCGGCGCTGGTGACGCACCTGACCTGCGCCATGACGCACATCCGCGCCGCCGTGCAGCAGAGCTCGCTGCCCTTCCTGGCCACCCTGCTGCGCCGCTTCCCTGCCCTACTCTCCGCCTCAGTAGACCTGCTGCTGCCCACACTGTTGGAGCAGATCTCCCGCTCCGGCGGCGGCGGCGGGGCGCGCGCGCTGCTCGCCGACCCCGGCAGCAAGCTGTCGGCTGCCAGCTGGCGTGTGACGGTGCTGAAGCAGCTGGCGCAGCTGCTGTCCGCCCAGCCGGCCGGCGGGGGCGGTCACAGCGCCGGTCCGAGCCGCTCCGTACCGGTGGCGGCGTTCTGCCCGGTGTACCGGCGAACAGCGGCGGCGACCGAGGAGGCCCCGCTGCTAGCGCCGCCTACCGGCCAGCAGCGCAGACTGCTGAGCGAGCCCGACTCCTGGAGAGAGTACTGTGACGGCCTGACGCACGTGCTCTTCCAGGCATACGCCGAGGTGGCGCCCGACGCAGACAAAGACGGTACGTACTCTTTGGGGCAGCGTTCCATTTTTGGGAATTTTGGGTGGAAAATCACACCTAATGGGCAAAATATTTTCATCCCCAAAACCAGGTAAATTGGAATTCATTCATCTTTGAAAAATGCTCAACTCATGCTCAACAATTAACAGCCAGATTACCAGATATACCTAGCAGCGCCATATAGACAGTTAGAACTTACAGGTTTGCTACATAATACATAATTTCCATGAAAAAAAGCTATATCAAGGCACAAACCCAACAACTCACCCTGACCGACAACGAAAGAAAATAACCTTGCACACTTCCAGCTGTTAATAACAAATATGCTTTGAATGACCTTGATTACCTCAACTGTTTGTAAAAAAAGGCTTGTGTTCTGAATAAATGCTCTTGGATATTAATAACAACTATGATTAGTGGTTTGCTGCCAATGCAAAACGGATGAGCCGCTGCTTGCGCAAATTAAACACTACCTCTGCAATTCGCTTTTGACTAAGTTACGCAGGATACGCCTACAAAATTTTCATCTTTGGACCCGCAGTCAGCTGGGCACACCCTGCGCACACCCTAGGGATGAATTTAAAACTTGGTGGGCTCTAACTTTTTTCATTTACAAAATAGGGGTATGAGACAGATACCAACTTATTCTACATTCATTTCTGATCCTATTGTATCAATTTCACCACAAATTATGTCCGTCAATGGCTTCTAGAGGACTTTAAAGCTCGATGCGTCGGGCCTGGCAGAGGTCCAAGATGAGAAAAGCCACCCTGCGCACACCCTAGGGATGAATTTAAAACTCCGTGGGCTCTGGCTGGTTTCATAGGTAAAATAATGTTTTGAGACCGATACCAATTTATTCTGCGTTTATTTCTGATCCTATCGCATCAATTTCGCCACAAATTATGTCCGTCAATGGCTTCTAGAGGACTTTAAAGCTCGAGGCGTCGCGCCTGGTAGAGGTCCAAGATGAGAAAAGCCACCCTGGGCACACCCTAGGGATGAATCTAAAACTCCGCGGGCTCTGGCTGGTTTCATAGGCAAAATAATGTTTTGAGACCGATACTAATTTATTCTGCGTTTTTTTCTGATCATATTATATCAATTTCACCACAAATTATTTACGTTATTAGTTTTTAGATGTCTTTAAAACTCGAGGCGTCGGGTCGGGCAGGGGTTCGAGATGACTGACACGCCACCCTGGCACACCCTAGGGATGAATATGAAACTCTGGGACTCTGACAGGTTTCATTCGCGAAACGAGGTTATAAGACCGGTAATGATGTATTTTACGTTAATTTCTCATGCCTTTGCAATAATCTTACCGCCAATTATTCACTTCAATTAATTTCTAGAGGTTTTTAAACACGAAGCGTTCGGCCGAGGGAAAGCCAAGATGAGTGAAAGGATACCTTGGCACACATCTAGGGATAAATTTAAGATACGGTATTCCCAGATCTGCCCAATACATGTTCTGAAGCTGGTAGATGGGATTAAGAAGGCCCTAGCTTTTTAATAAATTATCCCTCGCCCGTATAGGGGGGGGGGGGGAGGGTCGAACGAACCACCCCCTCGTTTTTTTTTCGAGAATAACTCGCGTAAAAAGCGGCCGATCGCGACGAAACTTTCAGGACCCTCGAGTCAATTAATTGGACACCTACTCTGAAAATCTCATATTCCTGACCCAAATGACCTTTGACCTGTGACCTATTTCTTGAGGCCATGTTTGGCCGGAATCGCGATTCGGCGAGCCGCTAATGCGTTCCGTTCCGTTCACTCCCGTCCGTTCCGTTTCGGGTGTTCTGGTCAGTTGTGCTCTCGCTTTCCCTTCCGCTTGGGGTGTCCTGATCAGCGATGCCCTCCGTTCCGTTGCAGTTGCTCTGATCAGTGATCACTGATGCCCTCCGTTCTGTTGCGGGTGCTCTGATCACTGGTCACTGATCATTGACGCTCTCACTAGCACTTACCACGTGACATGATACGAAGCTACCGCTCCATTTCGGTGGCCGGCCATGAGGTCGGTGGCATCCTACTATCATTTTTTTTTTGCATCCCGTTCCGTTCCGATACGGATGCCCTGGTTACTGGTTAGTTGCACACTTTTTATTGCGATGTTGCGTATTATGCTGCGCAGTGCACATCGTTCCGTTTGGGGTGCCCTAATCAGTGACCCTTTTTCTAGTCTCATGTAGTGCACCGTTCCTTTCGAAGAGTTGCGCTGACACCGTTTCCATTTTCACTATGCGTAATGAGTACCGACTACCGCTGGCCGTTCCGGCGTTCGGGCCGGGAGATTTCCGGCGTATGTCATGCTGCATAGTGCGACTGCAATTGCATACTCAATACTGCGTCCCGTTCCGTGTGCTCAGAGCAAAGGCACCATTTCCAGTATCATCCGGCCATTGTCATATCTGTTGAAAATGGAAAGCTCAAAGCTATACTGTGTACACTGTACGAATATTACCAGATCAGATGCGAACGAAAACTACATACTTATATTGCCGCATATTATCTCAAATATACAGTAATCTTGGAAGCGGTGCTGCCATATTGTAGGCGCAAAACGTCCCAGAGGCCAGAACACATGAGTTATACGGTTTCTGGTTTCATAGCGATCAGTTCAGGGTGTCCAGAAAAAAAGATACTACGGAAATTAAGTCGCATTCATTAACACACGTGCCGATTTTGTTCCAACTTCATGTGCTTATAGTGCAAGATTTGGCAAAACTCATGAGCACTGTAATGCGTCATTGGGAAGTTGTCTGTCTGCCCTCCGAGATGGTCAACATGACCATCAGTCACCTGCAGACCGTGCTAGTGCTGGAGCTGATCCGCCGGAAGGCCGCTCACATTGAGTATCTGCTTTGAGGAGCTGCCGCGACTAACCAAAGGGTTTATATGCCATGTGGCACCTGCTGTTTGCTTTGCCATATTTTTACAAATACAAGCATGTGCCATTTTAAAATGTGCGGTGTTTATTTTCGGAATTATAGCAAACAATAATAGTATCCGTTTTTTCTGGACACCCTGTACGTCAACAAACTGCCCATCAGGGTATCATGATTACCTAAGATTTTCTGACAGTGTCACAGTGATGACCACGCCTCACGCATTACACAGTCTGAGTCAACTGCACTAAATCAATAATACAGGAACCGAATGATGCCCTTTGCAACGGCAATGACAGGTTCCTTCCCACTTCCTTTGCTTAAAAAAGAAAGAAAACTTCTCCACATGGCACTAGTACCAAAGCCTGCATATAGGGAGAGCTCTCTCACCCGCCCCTCCCCCACCCTCCTTAAGATATGACAACAGATTTCAACAGAATCATTGCATCTTCTGCTCTTTAGGAGAAATATACAGGCAGAAGGACCGTCCTGGATCCGTGCCAGTAAGCATGAGTAGGAACTTAGCAGATGCTGACGGTAATATCTGCTGTCTGCATCTGAAACGGAAAGGAAGGCATTGATTTAAGGCTAGGAGAAGGATGGCCACTGGACAGTCATTCAATTGTGACAATGCATTTTGTGAGGAAAATGAAATCTCACTGGTTGAAGTAGGTATTCATTCTTTGCTGTATAAGAGACAAGGGTGATTCTTAATTCATTAGTCTCAATCAAACACAAATGTTGGTATAAAATGGGACGGATTTAGAAACACTTGGCGATCAGATGTTAAAGTTATAATTCTGCCGTAGATCATCCTTACGTATTTGCATCGTCTTTTTCGGTTAGTTTTGGTGGTCAGGAATGGTATGTTCTCTTATTATCAGCCAGCGTAGCGTTATGCATTTATTGCGAAAGTGATATAGGTTTTCACTTGTTTTTTTTTTCTCATCCTAGATTTTTTGGTCATCATCGTCACACCCAACCAAAATCCAATTTTAGAACACTGCTGTGGGGTGGTGGGATGACGTCTGAATTAGTATTGGCTCCGGGAATCGTGTATTGTGCCCTGATAATTCACCTTGGATCTCATAGCATATCTCATCTTGTAGCTGGCACCTCATAGCTCATCAGTGTCGTGACTATTCGTTAAGGTTTCCTAGGCACCGATCAAAGGTTCTCCTCCAACGTCTTGCTTCATCGCTGTTTTTTTATGCCAACTCTTCCATTTCCAGGAAGCCTTCTCTCAGACGAGGCTGCGGAGACGCTGGCGGCCGTGCTGCAAGTGCTAGTGGAGATCCTCCGTCAAATGAGGCACTTGGACGCCACCAAAAACACAACCCTGGTGAGACACGGAGGATGTACGGTGTACGGAATCCAACTCTGGGGATTTGACGCGTCTTCACGGCACTGTTGTCGGTTTAGCTTGATGCATTTTTGCGCCCTTTTCTTATGGCTTATTCGTGATCTTGAAATTGTTTTTTTTTGGTAAGGTCATCATTCAGGGTTCTTTGGCATTGGATCACTCAGCTGAATGTATGCATGAATGAATGAATGAATGAATGAATGAATGAATGAATGAATGAATGAATGAATGAATGAATGAATGAATGAATGAATGAATGAATGAATGAATGCATGAATGACTGAATGAATGCTTTGATATATTTTTTGGTCATCAGTTGCCCCGCCTGTCGAATAAATTCCGAGAAGCTTACCTGTGCACCTCTCCCCCACTGTTCCACCCACTCTGTCCCTAGGTGGCCAGGTTCACAGAAACCTACTACCCCGATCTCCGGCGGCACGTGTTCGCTTCTTTCCCCTTCTCTCGGCTGGTGGGACGCCGAAAGAAGTCCGTCCCCTCTGCGAGCTCCTCCTCAGCGGGGCCCTCGGCACCCTCCGAGCTGGGCAGTGACGTCATCAATGCGCTGGTGTGCGAGCTGGCGGCTAGTCTGGCCGAGGACGAGACGACGGCGCACTTCCGACACAGCGTGCTCGACTACCTCACTGGTGAGTGAGTGGAAATGGATGTATGGGTGCAGCTGGCAGGGGTGATGCCGCATTTGGTGGTATGGAGACGCTGGTATCATAGACATGACGCCGCTGCAGGATAAATAATAAAAATGCTCATAAGTGGTCGTGCCTAATTCGAGTGAGAGACCAACCATATTTGATGTTTACCTTATTTTTGTCTTTTCTAAATTTTCTGTCGTTTTAGCTTTACCGCGGTTATTGAATCATTTTCTCAGTAAGAAAAGTCTTTTACAAGATTCTGCTTTAATTGAAGCGTCAATTTCTTAGCTTCCCACGAAGAAGTGCCCAATATGCTGACCACTGTGCTATTTGTTCGCGCACAGCGTATCTGGAGTCGGACCGCAGTGGCGAGCTGGACCGCGTGTGTCGTCTCCTGGCGTCCCTCCTCTGTCCCGCCGCTGGCCCGGCCGCTGACGGGGATCTGGAGCGTCAGCTGGCCTGTGTGCGGGCGGCCTCGGAGCGCCACCAGAGGCTCCACCCGGCCGGACAGGGTCAGGAGCTGACCCACCTGCTGGCCACGCTCGTCACAGAGCCCAGATACGACCGACTCGCCAGGTGGGGGGCGGTGCGGAGTGGGGCGAATTGTGACCCTTCGGGGAACTAGGGTGCAGTTGACATGGGAATGATTATAGGCAAAAGAAAGTTTCTTCTTGGGAGTTGTGGGACTAGTTTATTTTTTATACGCATGTGCTTACTTACCTACTACGTATCCGTTCTTGGTATTTTGACGATGAAATCTGGCCGACATTTTCTCTCTTCTCAATGTTTTAATTTCGGGGAAGCATGCTTGCTTTCCGCTTATCTGTCATGCCCTTATGCTGTGCCACATCATGGTGCGTGTTGCATGCATTGCATATTGCGTATTGCATGCTAACCGGCTGCTTTCTCCCCTCTGCCGCGCCAGGTCGGAGGAGGTCGAGGACTGGGCCGTCCGCCTGCTGCCCTCACTGCGGCCCGGGGACGGCGGCAGCACCCCCGAGCTGCTGAACCTGCTCCGTCGGATGGCCGCCATGGGTCGGCACAGGTTCGTCTCCGCCCTGAGAGATCAGGCAGCCGACCTACTCGGCGCGGCCGCCGCAGCTCAGGGCGACGCGCAGTGGCAGCGCGGCGTAGTAGAGCTTCTGTTCTGGCCGGCAGATGTCGCGCCGGACGCTAAAGCGGCGTTCGCTGCGTTCCTGGGGTCGCAGGGTGTGAATGATGCTGTGAAACGGTACGCGGAGGAGGTACTGCAGGACAGGTACGGGCAGGGGACGCCGGTAGTCGCAGCTGCTTGATCTAAGACAATGTGGCCAAGACCAAATATATGCTCTATCGTTTTCTCTCGTTCTTTCGTGAGCTACTGCAGTCAATTCTGGTCCTTTCCTTCCTTCGGTAGACTGATTTTTCCACGCTTTTGCTTTTCAGCTAGCTAGCAAGCTTTCTTCTTAGCCTGTCTTTTTTACTGTTGGAAAATGCAATTCAAAAATAATTATTTTCGACAGTGAGACAATCATTATTGGTCCATTTGAGCGCAAGTGATACTAGTTATTCCGATTTTTCCTTATTGTGTCCGATCCGAAGTCTGAAACATGAGAAGAAATGGCCAAAGAATACCCAAAGCATCCCGGTGTCCCGAAATTGTATTCCTCTTACGATGAGCCATGGATAGGACCTTTCCACTTGGATGTTCAATAGGTAGGTGTATATTTTATCTTGTTTTTATGCATTGTACAGTCATTTTATGTGCGAGATAAACATTGCCATATATATGTACTATATATGTATGTAATGCCCTTTCGAGTCCAGAACTCTGACCGTCCGCAGTCCAAATCGGTTTCAGACCTTTTTCACGCGTTCGAAACTTTGGGCTCCTGTTGACATCACCCTCGCATAAACGGCCTGAACCGTGATTGTAGTTCGACTTCAATCCATAACGTCTCCCAACTGGAAGAATAATTTATAAACTCTCTTCAATAAAATGATAACGGTAGATCCAACGACAGGACCATCTTCGTACGCCATTGTATCTTGTTTGTTACTGTGACGGTCGTACTAACTATGCAAGATTCCTTTACTTACATGGCTAGGAACTTTGGTTAACGGTTCTTATATTTCAACAACCGTTTCGTCCTTGTCTTCTTTTCTCACGAATCACAGCGTCAGACACGCGTGTGAACCTCCTCTTGACAACAGTTTGGATAAACAGCCACGCGCGGCGGGCCTGCCCGCGTCGGTACCAGGGCGGTAGGGCACACACTGGAAAAGTGATACAGCCTGGGTAGGCGGGCCCCGGCAGTGGGCTCCGTTTGCTCAGTAGATAGCCGGTAACAGAGGCGTGCATAAGTGCTGAGGTGGCGTACACACAGTCCCCCGGAAACCCTCGTAGTGAGGAGTAAACACCCACGGAGTCGGCAAACGCCGTCTTCCTGTTGACATAACGGGATTCGGCAGCGCCGGGCGTGGCTGGAGGCTAATCGGTGCCACTTGTCGCCGGGATTTGGTGGATGAGAGCTAGATTCCGCTGTTTAGGTGCGAATTCTATAAAAATACATATATAAAACATTGCCAGGGCGTCAGTGCCCAGTGGCGCTATTAGCCCATCTTGAAACATTTTTGATGGAATACAATGCGTACCGCTTGCGTCCAGTTCGTCCGGTATTTGTTACATATTTCAGTATAATCCACACGGGAAAAGTAGCCATTTTTACCCAGACTTGTACTCATATTTGCGTCTACCAATCGCGACGATCTTGCTTCCCCCCCCCCCCCCCACCGGGCACCGATGCCGCATTTTACCCTCAAAACACCGCCAGCCCTGGTGCCAGAGGGCAACTCGTCGATTGATGATGTTATCAGTTGTGTTTTCCCTTGTTTGCTCATATTTCCATACATTATGCTAATTCCTGGCGATCGATATCCCCTGCGTCAATCGCGGCGCTCGGGGTGATTATGGCGAGCACAATTGTGGCGCACGCCGCAATCGGTACAGCTTTTCTCACCATCAGCGGGCATCAGGAGATAGCATCTAAATCGGCCTCCGGGTAATAGAGACGTACGGAGGTGGTGGAGCCGGCCCCCGGGCTCGGCTGCCGCCCCCGGGACCGACAGTGAGGCCCGCTGAGATCACGGCGGGAAGCGCGGATGGGAGTGGGGGAGGCCGGAGGGGGCAAAGGGAATTTATGGATTCTGTAATGATTATGCGTCGAGTTGGGAAAACTGTGTGATGGTGAGTGGATGTTTTCGTTAAGACTTAAATGCTCAGAATCAAAATCTTGCGTATCCTATCTCATCTCATCTCATATATTTCACACATTCATTGAAAACAGTCAGTTTCACCTCGATTGGCGCAAAAGTGCCGGAGTACTTAACTCGGGGTGCCTCTCGAGTCCGTACAGTCGCGCTAGGTGCCGCCCACAGCCTCGCAGCCGCAGTCCGCCACCGAGCAAACCGCTCACAATAGATGTAAAGGTGCCGGCGCCGGGGGCAGCGCTCTGTGACGGCCGGTTTTGTTTTGTTATATGTTTTGTTATCAAGGTGACGTGGCTTGTTGCCCTTCCATTCAACCAGCTCCTGGGGTGCTGGTTAGTTTTTTACGTATAAGACTCCAGTGCATCGCTGTTGATTGAGATTAGAGAGCGGCTGACCTCTTTTTCATTTTTGCATCAACCATCCCCAATTACACCATGCCATGAATTATTGACACATTAGATGGAAGTTAATTATCTGCTTTGTTTATATGGCTTCCCTTCCTGTCACAACCACGTCAAATTAATTATAGGACCACACCCAACCCTCAGACCACATCCGAATCCGAGGGTCCACAGTACCCACATTTTCCGAGACCGCTTCCCTCATTTCAGGAATGTTTTATTTATGACTGACGTGATGACCGGCGATGCAGACATTGACTACATGGGGTAATCAAGAAGGGTAGAGAAATAACCCTCCCTGAACTCTGAAGCACGTCTTCCTTTGGCCGTTTGGCGCTCTCTTACGCCCACATCACATTTTCAGTACAGTTTATAGGCAAAATTTTCTTATCGATCATAATTGACCCCATGGTAGACTGCAGAACCGGAAGAAAGACAATCAGGGGCAGGGCCATCGCGAATCCTACTGTCTTCGGTTCTTCACAGTAAGAAGCTCATCTATTCGCGTTGTCCATGATAATTTGATTGCAGCATTGCTGGATTGTTGCTAATCTAGCAATCAAATTAATTGTACGATACTATTGAAACCAAACTCAAACGCTATACATAGTATTGGAAACCGGCTTAGGCAAGTTGACCGACTGCTCACATCTTAGCTGTATTTGATAGACTTCTGAACGCCCAGCCTCCGGGGTCCAGACTGTAATGCATTGAACCCCTGCATCCCTCCCGCGGCAGTTTGCCGTTTGATCTGCCGCCTCCCAGCGCTGCCGGCGCCCTGATTCTCTCCCCTCCCGACTACTCTCCCCATGGCTCCCTCATCCGGCCGCGCAGGTGCGTGATTCCGCCACCCCAGTCGGCCGTGATAGCGGCGGCGATCGTGGCGCAGCGTGGACAGTGGTGGCGCTATCCTCTGCCACTGAACCAACTGCATAGGAGCAGTTGAGCGGCATAGTATGCTAATTGGGACATTAAGCCGATTTAAAGGCACTCGAGGCGGGGCGCGTGCCTGAATTGGATGGCTCTGAAGAGGTCCTCGAATTGAACGCTCGTGCGCGGGTCGACCGGTGATGAGTGAAGCCCGTCTGAATATACAGAGGATCCGGACGCTGAGCTAGAGCGGATGGATGGTACTTGAGCAGTTACTGTACCGTGAGGACGCCCCCATTTGAATTCGACTCTCAGTGGTAATGCTTCAATCGGATTTAGCATATTCAACGATGGGTGCCATCGATCAATAGTGCTATAGGCGCTATACGTATCTGTTGATGTAAGAACTGGGTAATGCTTATGTCGTTGCAGGCTAACACTTCATTTTATCGAACTTGCGTGATTCGATTTCGCATACCCTGCGTTTTCAATTTCCTCACTTTATGTTATCACTCCCGCATTCGTCTCCTGCACCGGAGCAAATACCCAGTACAGCCTAACATCATCGACTGCACCCCTTGTCCCCCCCCCCCCCCAGTCGGACACATGACCCGTTAGTGTCCGTCCAGCCGCTTGTGCGCCCATCGTGATATAGTGCCCTGCGGTGAAAATGGCATGTTGGTGGTCGCTTCTGGCGGGGTGCGCGCCCATTTTCACCTCGCCGGCCGCCGGCCGCTGGGAGTACCGCCAGCTGAGACCGACGATCGGCCCGTTGCACGCGCTCTGACCGCCCCGTAAGCGGCTTGCGGTTGTTGCAGTGTCGCTGATGCGCCGCGGGCACGCGCCCGCCGGCCAGGTGCCGCAGGCGGGCCGCATCCCCCAATTATACCAATCAAACACAGCCGGTGGGGAGCCCACGGCCGCGGTGCGGGTGTGCCGCCGCCAGCCGACACTAGTCATCAGGACAGGCGGGGGGGGGGGGGGGAGGAGGGCAGGGGTGACGGGATGATCGCGGGATGGGGTGGGACGGGCAGTTTTTATACGCGCCGTGGAAACCACACATCGAACATTGCGGGCATATAATAATACGGGCCCTGTAGTGGTTCTTTACTCTGGCACTGAGAGCGTCTTACTCTGGTAAGACGTCTTACTCTGGTATATTTGACAGTAATCTGGTATTTTTGGCGCTTATTTTGTTCACCCTATGCAGCTTTAGGCATCGTGGAACACATGAAAAGCTGGTTACCCGAGAGGGTTAACATTGCTTCCAAATTCGTCACAGCACATTTGACCCAGTTCACCCTACCTCAGATTTATCCAAATATTTACCAACAGCAGCCCCGTCAAACAAGTGAGAAAAGTGAGTCTCAGTTGTCTCTGTTGACGTGTGACAAACGCGGCGCGACTGGCATATCGGCGCGATAGTGGCGCACCTCTGGGAGCGACGACAGGCGGCGCGCTGCCTACCTCAGTTTATCTCCTCCGAGCTGGGAAAATCGCCCTTCGCGCTGCCCCGGCGTCTGAGGCGCTACCCGGGACCCCGTGGCTCATGCACCGTTATCTGACTTGAGTTCATGTCTGGCGGCGTCCGAGTCTGTCAACATTGACAGCCCGCCAGCGTGACGGGCCGAGCGTGACACCTGGAGCGCCGCTCCTGAGCGATCGCTTCCGGAATAGCTCCCGGGCCGGAGGGACGGCCGGCGGGAGGTATTTACCTACTGATGGGCTCTCAGACTGATGGTCTGGCGCAGGCGATAGACGGGCGTAGCTGAGGGCCGTTCCTTCCACCGACGGTTTTAGTGTAATGCTGCTTTACTTTA